TTTCACGCGTAATTTGGCATTTAGGTCCGCCGTAACCCCTCTAATGGTCATTGCGGCACATACCGTTTATACTCAGTTTATTCCTCTATCAATAAGCTTTAATTTGGTGTATAAATTTTTCCTTGATTAGGGGCTGACGGGTTGCAGCAGTCCATTCCATTATTCAAAATAAGCTATTTCTTAATGTTCACGCGTATTTCGATATTTAGGTCCTTCGTTACTCCTCTAATATGCGTTTCGGAACATATTGACAATATACCTTTTGTTCCTCTCTTAATAAGCTTTCGAATGAGGTATAAGGTATATCTATAATTAGGGGCTAAAGGGTCGCAGCAGTCCATTCCATTATTCAAAATATCCATTTCATTATTCAAAATTGGCTATTTCTTAATTTTCACTCGTATTTTGGCATTTAGGTCCTCCGTAACCCCTCTAATGGTCATTGCGGCACATATCGTTTATACTCAGTTTATTCCTCTATCAATAAGCTTTAATTTGGTGTATAAATTTTTCCTTAATTAGGGGCTGACGGGTTGCAGGAATTTCTGTTAAAAATAGTTAGGAAATCCCACTAGTTTATCCTTCGAAACTAGGAACCAGATAAATAAATCAAATTAGAATTTAAAGAGTTTTTTTTATTTATTTTTTCTGATATCAATTTGAATATTTGTTAGATAACACCAAAAAGACTAATTTAGAACTACGGGATATAGCTAAAATGTCACAGTCAATTTTTTTATTTTTATTTCACTATTTACCGCTTTAACTTGAATAATGAAACATAAACTATTTCATTATTCATTATTCATCACTTGATATTGAATAGTGAAAAGTGAACTATTTTATTATTCATTATTGAATTTAATTAATGAAAAATGAATAGTGGACGTACTTCAGCGTGGTGTGTGATACACATGGAAATTTCACTCACATCAATTTTACGTGAATTTCACCTCAAACGATCTTATACGGGAAACTCATGTGAAATGAGTTCAGGTGAGTTTCACGTGAATCTCGTGTGAAATTCATATAACATCTAAATTTTCAAATTTAATTAAAATTATGAAAAATACCAATGTTTTGTTGTTTTAAAGTTCACATGAAATTCACTTGAAAAATTTCATATGAGATTGATGTGATCTCAATTCATGTGAAATTCACGTGAAAATGTTCACGTGAGTTTCATGTATAAGCTCGTTTGAGGTGAATCTCGTGTCAAATTTTCACATGAATTTCATGCGAGATTCATGTGAAATTCACGTGAGCAAATTTTGCCTGTGTAGTATCAGAAGGAATATATAATATTTGTAGCAGTGCAGTAGTCTTTAGGTAGATGTCTTTATGTATATGGGTGGATTTTAGGAGTTCTAGTGTCCGATGGTAATATTAATTCTGTTGTATACTGCGACAATTTGATGTACGATTTTATAAAACATTATGAGTCTGGTTTTAAGGCTGCGTTGATGTGAGGATATTGTTGAGCATGTCTGTAACGCTAATGGTATTATGATAACGATTACAGGCATAACTGGCTGTCCATCTCGATTTTATTGCAGTGTTCGGTATTGTTAGGGTTCCGAACCGAGCAATCGTACTGTAGTTTTTGAAGAACAAGTGCTCAGTATGCCTGATATACAAAAACAAAATCTTAATTTTTAAATTTAGCAAAAATATAAAACAGTGCATTTTATATAGGTTTATAGTAGCACCTTTTAGCATTTAGTAATCGGCTTTTACAGAGAATGAAAAAGTTGCTAAATTGATCCCTCTGGAAAAAACAGCATATGCCAAGGGATCAAAGAAAACAAAAACAGGTAATTAAAAAAGTTGCTAACCAAAAGTTGTTGCATTTTATCTCATCATTTGCGCTTTGTACATTTGTCAGGATGGAAAGCCATCAGCCAGTCCTCTTCACACTTTGCTGCAGCATTAAGATCTTCCTGGAGGCTAACACATTCTTGTTATACAAATAACATAATAACATAGTATGATTGCAAGGGAGGTAATTTATATATAGGTATATCACTTCAGAATTGTAAGGGACGTAATTTTTATATAGGTATATCACCTCAGAATTGTAAGGGAGGTAATTTATATATTTGTATATCACTTCAGAATTGTAAGGGAGGTAATTTGTATATTTGTATATCACTTCAGAATTGTAAGGGAGGTAATTAATATATAGGTTTATCACTTCAGGATTGTAAGGCTCACCAAGACAAGTGTTCAAGTTGTTAAAATTTACTTGTAAAGCGAAGACCCATTTCTGTATTCAGCATTCAGTTATTCCCAACACGCGGATTGAGTAAATACTTATTATGTATGAAAGGTATATCTGACTATATCAATAGCAAAAAGAAAAATCAGCTGCAGTAAGGCATAAGTTAAGTGTAATGACGTTTTCAATGGCCAATTTTCCAAAACTTTGTTTCACTCAAGGTTCGTGTGCATGGTGTAGAGTAATTTAACCGTTAAGAAGTCTAACAAATTTCGACAATTATGCATATTCATAAATATGTTATTAATAAATGTGCGTGCTTCTGTTGAAGCAATAGTACGGTTGATTCGTAAATTTTATGTTTTCTTAAATTTTTACATCACAGGCTTACTATCTTCTATATATATAATGAACAAATAAGAAGATGTGGTATGGTTGCCAATTAGGCAACTACGGGCTTCAACAATGAGAAAACCCCTTACCGTATAGTCTATAAAAAGCCCCGACAAGAAAAATGTGAAACAATTTAAACAAGAAAATTAACGGCCTAATTCATAACAATACAATTTACGGCACAAAAAAAATATGACAGACATGAACCATCGACAACCACTGAATTACAGGTTCCTGACATGGGACAGGCACATAAAGAATGTGTCAGGGTTAAACTAGTCTACCTACAGATAAAATAAAAAATTACGAAAGACAAAAAACTAAGAGATTCGTTATGATTTGATGGTGTTATAGGTGGTTTATACCGTAGTAAATGTATGAGGGTCTAGATGGGGTGGTTTACAGAATAGAGAATAATGGGTCAATACTACAGAAAAATTAGCCAAAAAATAAAGAATAGAGAACAAAAGGCAAAAACAAATGAAAATAAAATATAATGGGTTGGTAAGTATAAAGAATAGAGAATAATGGGTCAATACTACAAAAAATGGGCCCAAAATATAAAGAATAGGAAACAAAGGCAAAAAAAAAGAAGAGAGAATTATGGGGTGCAAAATATATAGAATAGAGTATAATGGGCAAAATTTATAAAGGATAAAGAAACATGGCTTAAAAAATTACAGTAAACAGAATTGAAGGACTCCCATCCAAACCCTCATGTATGGTCCGGAAACCTTAAAACCGCAGACACCTATTAAGGTCAACCTTAAATATGTTCGGTTTGGATAAATAGATTATTATTTGCAATTAATCGCCACCAACATGTCCGTGAATTAATTTGATTGACATTTATATTACTGTGTTATGTTAACCGGTGCAAACAATACGTTGTGACATTAATTTCTTGTCGAATACACAACTAATATCATTTTCGTGTATATTCTATGAAAAAAAAAATTCTCCAAATGAAATCGTTTAACAATGAATATGGTTCTATTATTTTTGCTTTTATTATTTGGAATTTTGTCGGCGGATAATCAGCGTGAACGTAAGTAAAGTGTAGTGATCTTGTTTTTAAATCTATTTGTAATTAGGCTAGACAGTTTAACTCGCAACTATTATTCCCAGGCCCTATAGAATAAGAATATACATATTTGCTCTCTCCTGGCAGAAACAAAATAGATTAGGTAGGTAGGTAAAATGGTCTTTTTTTTAAAATATTTTGCAGACTATAGGAATATATTATTATTATATCAAAAAGATGTAGATTTTTTTCATTTGATATACACGATGGTCTGGATTGGATCTAAAGAAAACTTTGAAGAATAACCTGGCCATTACTACAGAAAAATGGACCAAAAATAAAGTCTAAAGAAAAATATGTCAAAAAATAAAGAGAGGATAATTGGGTGGTAAAATATAAAGACACAGTGGCTTGAATTTTAGAGATAAAAATATTTAAAAAATTTTAAAAAAAAATAGTGATATATATATAATATAGGGGTATATATCACTATTTTTTTCATATATATTTTTATCCTTAAAATTTAAGCGACTGTGATAAAGAATAGAGAATAATGGGCAAAATTTATAAAGAATATGAAACCTTGGCTGAAAAGAATAAAGAATAAAAGTTGGAGAACACCCCCATCCAGAACCTCATACACGATATATAACAGATATGTTTCTTAAATTTTACAAAGAAGTAGATAAGATATCTAGGGACGATCCAAATTCATGAGTCGATTTATTCGATAATCGAAAACATTTATATACCCGATTGACTGACACATGATGCAATGCAGAAAGTTTAACAGATTGAAGAAATCAAACAAAACAAAAACCTAAGGGGAAGCCAGAAATTGTAGTCAAGACAACAATAAATTGAGACAAATCAAAGTGAAACAGGAACAATGTAACCAGGCTGGTAAAACCTGTCGACAAACATCGGTGTTGTTGTAGTCGGTTAGGAACGAGCACTTAGATGAGCTGCGACTGTTTTAGAAAGTAAACGAATACCAAATTTAAACTTAAAATATAAAAAATCCTGAAGGGATAGCCGCTGCTCTAGAAATATACAGTAGAATAATCAATCGTGCTTTACGTTATCGTCTCAAATATTTGGGTTTAATTGTTATCTAGAAAAGCGCTTCGAATACAGCAACGTTATAGTGTTATTTTCACTCGCATGCAAGAAATATTCGTTTTTTTTTTCAATAATCTTTTTAATTTTGTGTAATTCTAGCAATAGAAGTATTTTGCAGAAAAACCCATCAATATCTGTATTCATATACATGTTTTCTTCATACTTACCGATAATTTGTCTTTTGTAATATTACAGTTTCTCGATGTAAGAATAGAGCTTCCGTTGTATTTATGGTGCCTATGAGTCGCTGGAAATCTACCATGACAGTTTACTTGGAAGACTTCTTACATCAGATTGTGAACTATTTTGAAATATCAAAATATGACTTTAAAATTAAAATTTTGGAATATGGTCCAATTTCTCGCGCCAAGAGTAAATTCTTGACGTCGCGAAAATCAGCAAATACTGAAATTTCATCATTAGGCATTAAACGGACAAAAATTAAAACCAATGGGATATATCTGAAGCCTGTGTTAGAGGATGCTATTGAAATGCTTAATGTTACGACGGAAATCTATCGAAAGAAAGTTATTGTAATCTTTTTAAATAATATCATATTTGATCAGACAGCGTCATCATGGTATGCAAAATATATGAAACAAACTGGAGTGGTGTTCTATGTAGTGACGTCATTTAAAAGAAGTTTAGACACTGCAATGAATCTAGCGTCAGATCCCTGTAAAGCCTTTGTTGTTGATGATTACAAATCTGGTATGGATGACGTCATTAGTGACCTTGGAAATAACATTTGTCTCGGTAAGTAAATACATTAATTTTTGGGTCCCTTTATAGCTTGCTGTTCGGTGTGAGCCAAGGCTCCGTGTTGAAGACCGTACTTTGACCTATAATGGTTTACTTTATAAATTTTGACTTGGATGGAGAGTTGTCTCATTGGCACTCATACCACATCTTCTTATATCTATTAACAAATGAAGCTAAGTATCTTTTTAATTGCAAAATCCGGTATCAAAACATGGAACTTTGGTGGATAGTTGTCTCATGGCAATCATACTACATCTCCTTATTTCTAATTGGACCAATTGTTCGTTAAATTTCTATTTTTATTTGCGACTTAGGGAAATTACAGGACATATAGAATATATTTCAATGAGCATCATAGTAAAAATAATGACAATAAAATTTAAACTTATCCTCTTTACTAATTGGGTGGAAAATTGTCTTTTGAACAAATTTATTTTGGCTAATTGGATGTCAATGGTAGACCTTTGAGTGTTTAGACTGTTTAATTTAAAAGCATTGTTTTAGACTCGAGAATTAAGAGCTTGACACATTGTTTAGACATACAGCTGTCTATTATTTAAGATTGTATATTGCCCTCTAGATGTGTTATGGCTATGTTTTGTCGTTGTGATGTTGTCTGATGACGTGTAAATCCATCTCCCTTATTTGTATGTATTTCTGTAATCTACTTGTTTATTTCAGTCTCTGATCCACGACTCGCTGTAACTTCTGGTCCCGATACACTTGGAAATTGTAATATAGGTAATTTATTTTCTCTGAATATTGTTATCATGTAATTAACATTTCAATTAGTTACAAACCTCTCTTTAAGTCATCTCAAGCGTTAACTTTGGAATGATTATCCCTGAGCTTATCCCGTCCGGTAGTACAACCCATACAAAGGTCCTTAAGGCTGTGATGGATGTATAAATACACAGCCACGTCTGTGAATAAACTTAATAGTAGCAAGGGGACGTTAGATCCGATGCTTTGTGCAAGATGATTGTAGCTACGCCCCCTGCACGTTTAAGAATCGTTGCCACAACTCTATGAGACTATTGCGAGGCAAATATTCGGTTCCTATCCAAAACACTTTCCTTTTCTTTTTTAATCCAAATTCACAACCTTTCATATCCCGGTTGACCGTCCTTGCAAGGACCAATTAACAATTAATACAATATTGTTCCCGTCCTGAATATCCATGAAATATTTTCCACTGAACATTAAGCAAGCAACAATCAGTAATCAATTAATTTTCTACATTTGAAAATGCCTGTACCAAGTCAGGAATATGACAGTTGTTGTCCATTCGTTTTTAATGTGTTTTGTCATTTGATTTTGCCATGTGATTAGGGACTTTCCGATTGAATTTTCCTCGGAGTTCAGTATTTTTGTGATTTTACTTTTTAATCAACACGTTCAGTCGACGTTTGTCTCAAGTTACTTTTTTTTTAATTGTTTTTTTACCCTCTTTGATTTTCATAACACCTACATGTTATGCATAATTATGCTATTTGTGGCAAATGTATTCGCTATTTGGCTTAAATGTATGTGCTTCATATTGACTTATAACTGGTGGCTTGTATGTGCGTTATTGTGGTTTAAGAAAACAAATCGTTAAACAGTAGATTTTCTAATGTAATTGTTTCATTCAAACGGTCAAATATTAGAAAGTTGATGAAAAATAGTTTAATTTGGATATTAAAGAATCTAACTTATGCATCTAACATTTGACCTGGGTTTTTGCCACAAATAGATATATTGTGTGTTAATTTACGTTTTTTGATTGAGTTAAGCCTTCCAATTGATATTTTATAGTGTGTTTTTCTAAGTTGTGATGTTATACTATTGTTTCAGAAAAGGGAGAAGGTTTGGTACCATTAAAACGTTTAATCCCGCTGCAAATGTTTGCACCTGTCCTAAGTCAGGAATCTGATTACAGTAGTTGTCGTCTGTTTATGTAGTTCATACGTGTTTCTCGTTTCTCGTTTTTATATAGATTAGACCGTTGGTTTTTCCGTTTGAATGGTTTTACACTAGTAATTTTTTGGGGCCCTTTATAGCTTGCTGTTCGGTGTGAGCCAATGCTCCGTGTTGAAGGCCGTACCTTGACCTATAATGGTTTACTTTTATAAATTGTAACTTGGATGGAGAGTTGTCTCATTGGCACTCATACCACATCTTCCTATATCTATATAAGAAGATGTGGTATGAGTGCCAATGAGACAACTCTCCATCCAAGTTACAATTTATAAAAGTAAACCATTATAGGTCAAAGTACGGTCTTCAACACGGAGCCTTGGCTCACACCGAACAGCAAGCTATAAAGGGCCCTAAAATTACTAGTGTAAAACCATTCAAACGGGAATATCCATATAACAAAAATGTAATTTGGATCTACACTTAGCTTCAGAAAGCAGCATAAAGACCTAACATTGGTCAGTTTGGAGTCAGAATAATGCATCCAGGTTGGGTGACATGTCTCCCTGCTGACTGTTGCCTTAAAAGTAAAATCTTTAAAACTGGCACAGAATATCATTCTATAGCATGCAGAAAGATTTATGAACATATAACTAGAACATGTTATTGTTCTGAAACCTACATGCAATGTTGACGTCCGGACATTAAATTAAAAAGTATCCATCAATGAATAAATTGCCCAAATAGGAAGAAAATATCAACTGGGCATTTAAAACCCGGAAGTCGAAGAAAAAAATCACGCAAAGACAAACAACAACTTTCAAATACTACTGTAACACTAGAAAACCATAAAAAAGACTGAGTAACACCAACCCCAATAAAAAAACGTGAATAGACTCCACTGCACCGGTAGGGTTCTTAGCATTTCCTGTTCCACTAATGTTGCATTTAGTGATGTCACAATCTATTAAAATAAGATGGGATCCGATTGAAATAGAAAAAGAAGGTTAGACATCTAGATATTTTTATAAAAAATATATTACGAGTTCTTGCAAATTATATATAGAGAAATACTATTTGTACTCAAAGATATTATTAGTAACAACATAGTTATAGGTTAATCTAAACGTCGATTATATAATGATTTAGTCAATGACACGCTCCTCCTACATAATTTATAAGTGTAGGTACAATATTGTATAATGGTATAATGACATGATGGCGTGGAATATAATTAACATAAAGAATGTTACAAAATACACCACCTACATGTAACATTTTAAATGTCAAGGAAAAGACAAACTATGAAAAACCAGAATATTTTATTTGACTATGGGGAACTTTTGTTTTTAACACCATTCATGGGAAGTTCTAAGTGACAATAAATTTTGATTGTCAGATTATAATTGGTGTTCCAATGGATACTAAGCGTGCGTTTCTTCTCTATTCCTTTCACTGTCTAGATGGCTTAACTTATGACATATTTTCTAATACAATTTTGACTGCGTCCTATTAAGTTTGAAACAAAATGTTCAAACCGACTAAAGTTAACCTTTGACTTGGGAAGTCGGAACCTTTCTAATAAGAATGAAATCGGTTGTCTTGTAGATTGTTATCTAATTCTTCATTCTTTTAAGCAGCTAAGAAGTCTTTGTAACAGTTCTTGAAAGAACAATATATTTTGAGGATAAATATAAGTTTGCAAACTAATCTTTTACCATGATATCAGAGTAATTTGGATGTCCTTTTTATGTCCTTTTTGGTCATTTAGATCCTAACGTGTTTGGGTACTTATACATCCTTGGATTTCAAACGTTCGGGTTTGAGCGTTCCTGATGAAGGTAAATCCAGAAAGACGCTCTGGACGAACGCAATTTTTTAAATGTTTTTTTTTTTGCATTTACAACGGGTGTCACATGCGGAGTAGGACCAACTTACCCTACCGGAATATAGATCACACCTGGTCTTTGATCGGGTTGTGTTTCGCAGTCTTTAGTTTTCTATGTAGTGTTTTGTTCTTTTCGTCGTTTTTTTTCATTTAGAAAAAAAAAATTATGGTATTGTCGGCCTTTCCACAGAAAGACTTGTAAACAAAACAATCCGTCTGTTTGGATACTCTAATTGATAAGAAAAAAGAAAGCCCACTTTTAAAGATAAAAAAAACACTTCAGTTTATGTATAAGAGCCAAACAAAATGTTCCCGAGACACTGGTAAACATGTAAACTACAGGTTAATTTAATGTAAATGAACTCTTACTGTATCTATGATTTAGGCAATTGCTAGCAGTACTAATATATATTCATGAATGACTACCATATATATTCGAAGAATATAATTGAAAAAGGGGCAGATTTGACACATCTACTTCAACTCAAAACAAATCGAATTTTGGTCTCTGTTTTGATATATAACTTTCTTTAGAGATCGATATATGGTATGGACACTTGTCATTCATTGAAGGTCGGTCGCATGCTGGCCTCTTAGATTTTTTATGGCTTAATTTGGCTGCTGTCCCATTGACGTGTATCGCCCTGATCATGCATGAAATATTTATCACTGGACATTAAGCAACAACCAATCAATCAATTATTGACGTATACAACACTCATAATTTTATTCATAGATCTATTGCATTAATATTGTGAACATTTTCAAATACACTTATCTGCAAATAAGCAACCTTCATTCTACGCCTGCCAAGTTTCATTTTTAAGTTTAGTTCAATATATTAAAATGTACTTAAAATCGGTTTTTACACGATGCATATCTTTAATGTATTACTTTTTAAGTCTGCCCCTTACGCAATATTTTATCAAAGTGTCAGTCTCGACTTTTGAAAATTTAATTTTATGTAATATATTATTTCATTGAGCATAGATACCAGTTCGTTAGACTTCTATGTAAATGCATATTTACAGAGAATAACATGCATGTGTTTATCTGAATTTTATCTGAAACCTAGCAGTGACTGAGAAATGTTTTTGAAGTGATTTTACTTTTTGATTTAAAGTCATGTCTTTACATGTGAAAAGGGAGAGTTGTATACATTTTTTACCACCAAGATAAAACCGAAATTATTTTAGCTGTCTAAATGTTTGGGGGTTTTTTTTCTTAGGGGGGGGGGGGGGTATCATGCCTGTATCTGTTCGAATAATTCGTAATATAACGTTATCAAAGACGTCAAGGTACTTTGGAGCATACGTTTACAATACAACAGTTTTACCTAATTAAATAACAAAAAAATACTTGTATGACCTACATCACCCTAAAGGTTGACTGGGGTATTCAAATATGGTCATCCCAGGAGTTCTCCCGTCTAGCAGTAAAATCCTAGCTAAACTGGGATGTCCGTTTGTCTGTGTGGAAAGTATTAATAGGTAGCCACGTCATCTGATGCCTCGTGTAGGTTGGGTACCACGCTCTCTGCAGGTTAAAGAAAACGCTTTAAGGGTTCCGTTGGTGTCACGCTGCAAGGCAAAAATACCATAATTTTACACGTAGTGGAAGTCCAAACTTTCGCCCATTATCCCAATTTAAACACAGTAATTGTCTTTTGTATTAATTGTTATTTGTTCTCGTCCTGATATTCGTGAAATATTTGTCACTGGACGTAAAGCAGTCAATCATTTTTAAACCACTAACATATAAGGTTAGTAGAATTGAAGTGTCGAAATGGTTGACGCCACCAAACGAACCAATCTGAGAAATTGCGTAATCTCAAGATAAATAACATTAGATCCTGACTCACTGCTTCAACTCCCTCAGGCAAAGTTGACCTTAGATGGATTTGGCTATTTTTAAGGTCCTTTTTGGTTATATAGCTCTTTAACTGTTAAGGTTCTTATACATCCTTGGCTTTCAAATATTCGGCTTTGAAAGGTCCTGATAAATGGTATATTCAGAAAAGCGCTTCGAAAGCATGAAATTTATAGCGTGTTGTTTTCATTTTTCTAGTGGGACAAAGCAGAGGTGTGATCTGGATCCCAGGCACATATAGATATCAGGGAATAGTTTCAGTGAATAAACTCAAATGATACTAAAGACTCGTTTTTTTTTATATCCTACAGGATATACTGGTATATATTTGAACGGCCCATAAGGTTAACCTATCTCCTATAATTCTAATGTCAAAGACGCTGTCATTAATAGAGCAGAATCAGTACATGAGTTCTTCCCCATGTTTTGGTGAGGTTCATGTTGTTCAATCTTTATATATATATATAGCTTTATTCAGTTCAATTTTATGCATTTGTCAATGTGAAATATTTTCAAATGAATTCTGCTTATGTTAATGATCATAAAATTAGCGATCACCTTGAAATTCATTTGTTTGCAAGTTTGTTCAAGATGGCAAGCTATTGTTTATGCCTTTGGTTTTTTTTTTTTTTTTTGCAGGAATATTGTACAAGCCACCGGAAACGGAAATTCACTTTTTCTGTGCAAAAGATGGACTATTTCCAGATCCTTTGAATTGTGCGTATTTTTTTAAATGCACACGTGGGACAAGTGTTCATTTAAAATGTGAACCGGGAAATATGTTTGACGCGAGAACACATACTTGCAATCATAAAATGGCGGTTACATGCTACACGGGAGTTTCCTGTCCAGACGACACGGGACTATTCCCATATCCGAACGATTGTTTCAAGTTTTTAAACTGTTTTCAAGGAATGCCTTATGTACAACCTTGCCCTTCAGGATTAGCATTTGACAAAATCGTAAAAAGATGTTTGTTACCAATGCATGCACTTTGTTGATTGCTATTGTTAAAATAAAATTAGGGGACTACAGTAGACATCGTTAAATTTTTTTCTCTCTTGTAAAATCTTTCTATAAAAATGTGAATTATACACAATATATAAAATCAGTGTTTGTACTGTGTACACGTACACACAAATAGTTTAGAAAACTCCGACTAATTGCCGGCTATGAACCTTGTTTGAATAGTTCAAGTCAAAAGACGTTATTTTTATGTCCCTGTAATGTCTTATATATTTAAATCAAATTTCGATTTTTTTGTGTTATAAGATATAAATTTACAATCAAGTATGGGCAAGTGAGGGATAAAACTTTATTTCAACAACATTTTGTAAGGAATTAATGAGCAGGGACATCTTATTCGAAAAGTAATTACAATAGTATCAGATTTCAAAACCCACTTATTGACTAACCTACCATTTACTAGTGACATACTAATTCATGAACCCTATGTATACTGGTTAAAAAAGTTGAGCACCATATGTTTTAATTAAACAACTTTAAAGAATGAATTTCCAGAGTTTTAATCTTTACAATCGACTTTTCGACGAGAAAAATGTACCTTGTGGTTTACTTTCTTGTAACAATGATGAGTGTTTAAAGTGTTGTTAGTTTTTAAAATATCTAATATAAAATCTAAAACATGTGTTGCTTAATTTTTTTTACTCATTATATATAGACATCGTTTTTTTACTGAGGTATATTTGGACAGGGTAATGTCTACCTGGGAATAAAAGATGACACTACTATATTATAATATAAGTATTTAAACCTATCAGATTCCCCCTTTGTACATTTTATGCATATCCTAGTTGTTGTTAAAGTATTTTGTTAAGACCAGTGTTTCATACTTAAAGTATTTGTTACTAAAAAAGATATCATTATTATTACTATATATAACGGCCAACTGCAATTTACCACAAAATAAGTGTAGTTTGATTTTTCACCGATGGCATTGCAATTAAAAAAAAATAAGAGACGTATGGACGAGAGAACAAACATTTGCCTTTAACCATGAACAAGTTTCTTCGAAGGATTCATTACATATACATGTAGTATCTACAGGACACAAAATACGTAACACATATACATGTATATCCTTCATTGATAATCTTTTTTAAATACAAAATATTTGAACACTATATATTTGTTTGTCTCATTGTTTATTGATATGCTTTAAATGCATAATGTAAATATTGTGTTTGTTCAAACAATCCTTGTAATCATGGCGTATTTATTGTTTTCAAAAATATTGACATTTTGAACGCTATAAACATGTGTGTTGATTCTTTTGTATTTGTCTTTTGTTGTGTATTTTATTAAATATCAAAGTTTTACACTTTTTATATTTCAGAACTGTAATTTAAACTTTTAACTGTCTGGTCAAAGAATTGGATGACCCTTTGAAAAATGAATACATAATGTTTAATGATGAATTAATTACATGTTTTCAATATTTCTGCTCTAATAATCAGACTATTTTAGTGAAATACCGTTAAGGGGAGAATTTCAAAGGTATCGTTTAAATAACATCCAACGACGTTCAAATAATTCTCGAAGGATTTATGAAAGTTGTTAAACTCCAAAATTTACAACGCAGAACAAGTGTTTATTTTGTACCTCGTTGAATAAGTACAGTCATCCAACATAAAATATTACATAAGAAGGCACAATGATAGGAACTTCAATAAATACAAACTGGCGTACTTAATGACTTGGGACAGGCGCATAACGAACGTGGCGGGGTTACACCTGTTTGAGAGTATTCCTCCCTCCCCCTTACCTGGTACAAAGGTGGAGCATCACACCCTGTTTGAGAGTATTCCTCCCTCCCCCAAACCTGGTACAAAGGTGGAGCATCACAACATGTTTGAGAGTATTCCTCCCTCCCCCAAACCTGGTACAAAGGTGGAGCATCACAACCTGTTTGAGAGTATTCCTCCCTCCCCAAACCTAATACAAAGGAGGAGCATTACAACCTGTTTGAAAGTATTCCTCCCTCCCCCAAACCTGGTACAAAGGTGGAGCATCACAACCTGTTTGAGAGTATTCCTCCCTCCCCAAACCTGGTACAAAGGTGGAGCATCACAACCTATTTTAGAGTATTCCTCCTTCCCCCAAACCTGGTACAAAGGTGGAGCATCACAACCTGTTTGAGAGTATTCCTCCCACCCCCAAACCTGGTACAGAGGTGGAGCATTACAACCTGTTTGAGAGTATTCCTCCCTACCCCAAACCTGGTACAAAGGTGGAGCATTACAACCTGTTTGAGAGTATTCCTCCCTCCCCCAAACCTGGTACAAAGGTGGAGCATCACAACCTGTTTGAGAGTATTCCTCCCTCCCCAAACCTAATACAAAGGAGGAGCATTACAACCTGTTTGAAAGTATTCCTCCCTCCCCCAAACCTGGTACAAAGGTGGAGCATCACAACCTGTTTGAGAGTATTCCTCCCTCCCCCAAACCTGGTACAAAGGTGGAGCATCACAACCTGTTTTAGAGTATTCCTCCCTCCCCCAAACCTGGTACAAAGGTGGAGCATCACAACCTGTTTGAGAGTATTCCTCCCTCCCCCAAACCTGGTACAAAGGTGGAGCATTACAACCTGTTTGAGAGTATTCCTCTCTACCCCAAACCTGGTACAAAGGTGGAGCATCACAACATTAGAAGAAACTATTGAAAAGAGTTGTAAAAAGCTTGACTCATAAAAAACCTTACAAAAATTTAAAAAAAAGCCACATGGTACCGACGTAAGAACACTCGTAGTTTTTGAAAGCTAGTTTAAAGCCAATTCAAGCTAATAAATAAATCAGTTTTCCCAAACTAAAATATCAATCAGTTAACATAAAATGGATTTATTGTTACGATGTGCAAGAAAAGCATGACCTTGTACAATGCCACAGTTGTAACGACTGGGCCAAAGTGTCATAACTGTATAACCATACATATTTAGGTAATTAAAAACATGACCATCTGCATTTGAATAAATGGAAATGTTGGTATACACCAATGAGACACCAAACCAACAACATAAATAATCAACCCTGAAGTGGCATGAAGTGTTTCGAAAAGTTAGGCTACTCAGATAAGCGTTTGCATGATTGTGTTCCGAAAATTTAGGCTCAGTCCGTGAACGAGTTATTGATACATGTATTTAAAAAAAAATAAAAAAAATCAAGTATGGCAAGAAGTCATATATGTCACGAGATGAAACTCCTTTAACTTACAGCAGAAATTCTATCTAGAAATTAAAAAGAGAATTAGAATATAAAAATAAGAAGTATAATTGCCAATGAGACAACTCCCCACCAGAGACCAAATGGCATAGAAGTTAACAACTATAGTCATCGTACGACCTTCAACAATGAGCAAAACCCATACCGCATAGTCATCTATAAAAGGCCCCGAAATGACAAATGTAAAACAATTCAAACGAGAAAACTAACGACCTGATCTAAGTAAAAAACAATGAATGAAATACAAATATGATATACAGCAACAAACGATAACCACTGATTTACAGGCTCCTGACTTGGGACAGGCACATACAGAATGTGACAGAGTTAAACAAGTTAGCGGGCGCCCAACCCTCCCATAACCTGGGACAGTGACGTAACAGTACTACACATGAACAAACTATAAAAATCAGTTGATAAGGGCTTAACTCATCAGATCGTTACAAAGCAGACCGGACGTGGCAGGGTATGTTTACATCAGTACAACAAAAAAGACACTAAGTACAGAACTGAGAGTACACGAATTTACTGACAGCTTAAGTTCAAAGCCAATAACAACTAATAAAAAAAATCATGTATCTAAGACTAAAGTATCAATCAGCACACATCCAACATCCAGTGGATTTAGTGTATAGGCGTCATTAACAGTCAGAGAAAGAAAGGTCATAAATACCGTTGTCATCTATTATACCTTTATTATAGAGATAAGTACCTCTGTTATGTGCATTTGGTTAATCAAGTATTTGCTGCGTTTTATAACTCTTAATGTTTACAGCAAAAGCATTTGATTAAGTAGTGAATTAAGATATTTTTGTTCTTCAAGGTACTGCATGAATTTATGCTTTTCTCTAGAGTAATATATAAACACTGTTTTACATGTACAAGCAACAGCCGACAGTCACACATGTTTTCTACATAGTATGTGTAATGTTTTCCATCAAGTGAAAGATGAATTATTTATTTCCATTTTTTTGAAAGTGTGAGAGTATGTGTGTTTCTTTTCTAGCGAGAGGATCCCGGATAGCCTTGTACCGCATTCGACTTTAAGCGTTGCACTTCGGACGCATACGATTTATAAAGTGTTATTTTCAGTGTTTTAGGGTGACGATTTAAAACAAAATATATTGTTAATAATAACAATACTTTACTGTTATATCTTAGGGATTTTCGTTGAAATTTCTCTCTAATTAGTAATAAATGTATAGGAGCGTATTGTCACATAATTTGAAAGGTACACGACCGTAAACTCCCGTTATACATTTTGAGACGTTCCTTGTATTTTACCTGTCTCAGGTGTATACCGGTATAAACAATTTGTCTATTGAGAAGCATGGAGGACGAAGTAGACACAACCCTCCACTGGGGAGATATATTAGTTGTTATTGGATATTTTGTTGCAGTTATTGCTGTCGGTATATTGGTATGTAACAAAATATGATAAATAAACATGTAATTTAAAAAAATATGCATTTCATCGAACTAGTAAAGTTTCGATATGATTTACTCTATTTTCAGTTTTATTTGTATTTCATACAAAAGAATTTTTTTTAAAAGTGTAAAAAATAAACGAAACCACCAGAAATATGGGCTAACACATTGCACGGAATAGATAACATAGAGTAATGCTATATTTCTGTATAAATATTGACGATAGAAATTTATGGGCTTAGATTTCAAATTTACATATAGCTAAATGATACATGTTAGTTAATAAATCTATAAAATTTCATATGTCTCTAAAATGAATATCTAATTCGATTTACGTTAATTGTACATGAATTTCAGACGTGAATACATTTGAGTTTTTGAAACCATAGCTGAGTCAGTGTTTTTTTTCCTGAAACGAAACAAGGATATGAACGCCCCAACACTGCACCTTACAAATAGCTAGACCCAATAAACAAACTATTAATATTACATGTATGAATCAAATGTGGATTACACCTAAAAAGGAAAACAGATTACATAAAAGTAGGCGTTGTTACATCTTGTGTATAATATATTGTTGACAACATTAAAAAAAAGCTTTTAAATAAAAGTTTCAAAGAGAGAAAAATAGTGAAACGCTCCAGTATTGTAGAATTTCTGCTAAAAAGGGCGGTCCAAAAAATAAAAACATACACCCTGATAAAACAACTTAGAATTGCAAAAATATAATTTTGACTATTGTAGACGCAACACAAAGGAGACCAACTCTTTAACTAACGTTGTTTATTATCATGCGTTAACGGAGTGATGGGTAGCACTATCATATTTCAGTTAAATATAACTGTTAAATAAAACTTGTTGAATATGATGGGAAAATCAGTGAGCTTGAACGTAATTTTACACATTAAGTCTCAGTTTTGTCGTCAACATATATAATTATATTCCCCTCCCAATGAAATAGGAAATTTCATTCTGATAGGACAAAATTGTATTTGGTTAGATCAATTATAGATATTTGTATATCAGATCTGGAATTGATTTTTAGTTAGATCTGTTATCGATATTTGGCTAGATCTGTTATCGATATTTTGTTAGATCTGTAATTGATATTTGGTTAGATTTGTCAATTATATCTAATAGATCTTTAATAGATATTTGTTATCGAAATTTGGTTAGACATGTTATCGATATTGTTTTTAGATCTGTAACGTTCATAGGTACTAGAATAAGCAAAGCAAAGATCTACATAATACATACACGAACAGCAGAACGGCGAATAAAGTGAAAGATTGGGTATACGTCAATGAGACAGCAGCCCAACGACAAAAAAACACTAAAAGAATCTGTTTACATTCATTAACATGCAAACTTGTTAATGTACATTGCGTATTAGATTAATCTTTTGAAAAGAACTTGTAAACATCGAATAAATTCTTGTCATTTAAATTTTACACAATAGGGGAAATTTCTAAAAAGATAAAAATGCATTTTGACATAAAGAGTAATCAAGTAATCAAATAAACAATTCATATCGCATATCATATATCAGTACAAGTTGTTTGTTCTCGATAACATTAAGTTTTTGATCATGCAAACTATAAATGTTTTAAATGCGCAAATTAAAATATAACTGATTCACACACTGATTTATTTAAGTGCAGTACTGTCAAGGTCATGGTTATCACGGGTAACTTTTTCTTATACTGTTAAAAAACCAGTTTATACAAATTATTAACCTATACCATTTAGTGTTATTATACTCAAAAGAATTTGGTGTTATAGCGAATTCTTTGTAGTCTTGTATTATTTATTCACATTTTGCCTAGACTAGGGTCGATTTATTGCTTGACAGAGCAGAAATAATTGTCTTTTCTTCAAGACCGTAGGATGACTTCTACATGACTTTTTATTAAGTTGTTTCACAGCCTAAATCGTTTATTTATGTACACATATCCTTTGCAGGAATTTTATAAACTGCTAGCTATATAACTCTGTTGACGGTTCCTCATTTGGCTCAGCTTTACTCTTAGAAATTTATATTTTTTATTCTGTTTTATCCTGTGGCAATGTCCTTGCAATATACACGACGGGTACCACATGTATAGAGCAAGTACTGCTAACCTTTCCAAAGCAGCTGAAATCACCACCGGTTTTTGGTGGGATTCGTGTTGCTCTATAGTCTTTAATTTTCTATGTAGTGCTAGACTAGTCAACCTGATGACGTCACTAAATTAGAAGTGTTTTGTGTTACGTTTTCTTGCACTGTTCAAAAACCAGTTTATACAAATATATACCTACCATAAAATCAATGTGGTTATGCTCTATAAAACATTTGGTGTTTATGGGGATCCTTTGTAGTCTTTTAATATTCATTCACATTTCGCCTAGAACGATTTAGGGCTTGCCAGATTGTATGGACAATTTTATGTTCTTTAAGACATATGTTGACTTCTAGATGTCTTTTTGAGCATAGGAGTTGCTATTGGCCATAGAGCTTGTCATTGGACATAGCGCTCGTCTATTGTTGAACGCCGTCCAATTATCTGTTAGTAGATATGTATAAGAGAAGATGTAGGGTAATTGTGAAAGAAATAACAATCCAACGACACAAACAGTCAGATGCTACATGTATCTAGAGGTCAACATACGGGTTTCAACAGAGATAACAACACAACGACACAAACAGTCAGATGCTATCTAGAGGTCAACATACGGGTTCCAACAGAGAAAACAACCCAACGACACAAACAGTCAGATGCTATCTAGAGGTCAACATACGGGTTCAACAAAGAAAACAACCCAACGACACAAACAGTTATATGCTATCTAGAGGTCAACATACGGGTTCTAACAGTAGGAATGCGTCTAAACAATATGTCAAGCTCTGAATATAAATAGCCCATTATTTATAAGAACGTGAATGTGATCTAAACGAGACGAGATCAGCCATCAACAACAAATTAAAGTCTCTTTATGTTCATGTGAGTTGCCCTCTCCTCGACCTTTAACCATATTTTTTTTTAAATTCACGAGCAACTAACTTTTATTGCTGAACTATTTGAGTGTGTATTTTGTGTATAACGTTTAAGTGCGCGTTTGTTTGTCAGACCATGAAACATTCGTCAGCTTTTGTAAATGAAGAAATAAACTGGTAAAGCAGGTTTTCAGACCTATTTTTGTTGGCCATTTCAATGAACTGATTTGCTAGTAAAAAGCTATTGTTGCTCTTTCAATAGGTAGTACACAAAAGAGAAATTGATTTTGTGTTCCATTATATTGAACGAAGAAAATAATAATATCTTCATTGTTTTAGTACACACCTAAGTAAATTTACTGTGAATAACTTGACTTGAGGTCGCCTTGATTATTGTGTAAAAACATTGAAACGTTATGAGCTATATGATTAAATCATATATATATATATAGCTAAATTCCTCTTAGATGAACTTTGACCTAAGGGAATTGGAACCTCCCATTTCAAAACCTTATAAATAATTATTTGGAAGTAAGCAAATCTTGTTCAAATAAATATATTTATCAATATGCATATTATTATTATACTACTACTACTACTATCTTTGCTTAGTGAACATTTCTATCATGTTTTATCTTTATTGCATAGTGAACAAAAACTGAATTTTTAGAAACTTATCAATAATTTCATAATTTTTAGCAACTTTAATTTCATAATTTTCCGATTAAATCATTGATGTAAGTTTATATAACACTTATCTTCACGACCCACTGATTACTTAGTTATATTCGATGTCAGAAGTTAACAATTTACTTAGATCTTCATCCATAACATCTATGCACATTAAATATCAAATTTACATAAATAAGCATAAAATTCACCTGCGAAAAATCGATTATGTATACACTTGAAAGCAATTTAAGCTTGTAACTTTAATATAAAATGTCAGGTTTCTATCACCGAAGGATATTGCGCTTGCGTGTTTCACCTAAATTATGATATTTAGTATTTACATCATCAACTGATTAAACTTAACTTCAAAAAAGCAAAATATGACAAAGTTAAAAAATATGACCTACACAAGTTGAGAAAATAACAGATTTAATGATATATTGATAAATCAAAATAAAAAAGGAGGAATTATTACTGCTGTACTCTGGATACCTTAAGAGGTATGACAAAATTTCCATGACTTTTTATTCACTCATAGCGTCAGACTGAGACCCAGACTAATTCGTTTACAATATGTAAACTATTTTACAACATTGCTGTTAAAGACATTTTTTTTTTAAATACATGTATTGCATTTTAACAAAAATGAATGAGTTTCCATTTGAAAGGCAGTGCATAGCATTATCTGCGATAGAAATTTGATATTGTTATATGTAAGAATGCCACCCTATAATATTTTTAATAAATGCTCAATAGTAGTCGATATCTTTCAAAATTACAGTTTCGGGTCATATTTAGGAATTTAGAATTAAGAAATACGACCTAATGATGTTACAACATCGCTGTTTTTATTTGAAACTGTATCAACATTTTAATAAAGATTGCAGGTCATTTTAAATGGCTTTTATACATTGTGTATGTAATAAATTGATAAAGAATCTACCAAAATTAAGAACAAGCAATATTTAAAATAATGTGTACAACAACACGTGACCAAACGATTTCTTTAATAAAAGATCATTATGTTGTTTAAACTAGTCTGTTTTATGAAAAAAAAATGTGCAACATGGCTGTACGAGCGAGCGAGTCAAAATATAAAGTGCATAAAGATCAAACTGATCAACATAGTCTTCATAGTTTTCTATTTGATACTAGCGGATCATGCGGATGGGGCAGTCTTTATTATAGAAATGAATATTGATATGGAGTTTATTTCAAATGTGTTTATTGATGTGTAAACTCGGTCGATTCAATAACCCAATGAATGCATTTGGAGGGACTTTATGTTAAATTTGAAAGCGAAAGACACACACGTTTGTAGTAAAAAGGCCGAATTTACACACATTTTTAACATGAAAGGCCTAGTTTACGCACACGCTTTTCGGAATGAGAGACCGAGTTAACACACACGTTTTTGAATGAAAAACCGTGTTACCACATCAATAAACTAACTAGAAATAACCTTTAGTACTAGTCATTTTGATAAAATGTACCAAAATTGTTTAGATATTAAAAATAGTCCGAATGACTTACATTACTATTTCGTCTTTGTAAGAGTACACACCCCTAACATCATGAAACGGGTTGATGCAAAAGTTGATGGGGCGGCAACCTCCAAGAAGCACAAGGATTATTGTAAAATTCTTATTGTAAAAAAAAAAACAAAATTGCTAAAACTATATGTGACCACATGCATACAATGCTACGCTGCAGCTACGCTACTGATACGCATAAAATATTTTATCTATGAATAGGTATACTTGTAAATATAGCACATTTCCGCATTCAGATTACAGCATTTTTTTTTTACACTTATGAGTTTTAAAACGGAATAACATGCATTAAGGCATTTAGATATACATTTAATTTGTTTAAAAAAATATTATCAACATCAACTTGAATATGAAAATAAAGAAAATGCAGTATGATTGCCATCCCGCCAACATGTTAAACCCCGCCACATTCTGTATGTATGTGCCTGTCCCAAGTCAGGAGCCTGTAATTCAGTGGTTGTCGTTTGTTTATGTGTTACATATTTGTTTTTCGTTCATTTTTTGTACATAAATTAGGCCGTTAGTTTTCTCGTTTGAATTGTTTTACATTTGTCATTTCGGGGCCTTTTATAGCTGACTATGCGGTATGTGCTTTGCTCATTGTTGAAAGCCGTACGGTGACCTATTGTTGTTAATTTCTGTGATATTTGGTCTCTTGTGAAGAGTTGTCTCATTGGCAATCATACCACATCTTCTTTTTTATATTGAGACAATTATCCATCATACACTAAATAGCGTGAATGTAAGCAACTATAGGTGAGGAGGCGGACAGGGGTAAGGGAATATGGGAATGAGAGGCGGGAAGCGGGAAGCGGGGGTCAGGGGGAAGGTAACCGGGCGTCAGGGGGGTTGGAAAACCATGGGTAGAGGGAAGTAAAATTTGACTGATTTTCAAATTATCTTTGAAGCCTTTTTTTTTATTTTCAGTCATCATGTCGGAACCGAGGAAGTGTAAAGGGATATTTCTTAGCCGGACGATCTATGCATTGGATACCGGTATGTATTATATTTTACATCTTGATACAAATTGTATAAAATAGTTTGGCGTTAATTTTATCTATTCATTTTTTTCTGTATTGCAAAAAGTTCCTTCCACAAGGACAATAAGAATTAAACCAAGACATTTTTTTTAAAGTCATGATAAACATGTTTTTTTGTGTTTCATGTTGACTAAACTTGAACCTGATATGGGTGATATATGGTTATATGTATCCTAGATCCCTTAAGGTATCTGTTGGTCAGTTCATCACAGATGATATCCCAGTAACTGTAAAAAAATAATGGCAGAAATTAAAACGAACTTTGTGTTTCTTTTTTCTTTCTTTACTATTTACTACTACATTTCTTGAAAGAATCGTGCAATCCGTTATATATTATCTTTCAATATTATCATATTTCTCACAATAATTCATATCTTCTGTTGATAGGTTGGTGCCTCATTATTTGCTAGTAACATCGGTAGTGGCCATTTTGTTGGTTTGGCAGGTTCCGGTGCTGCAAGCGGTATAGGTATTGCAGTGTTCGAATTAAATGTAAGTGAAATATTTTAAGACTTAATGCACATATTTCAGATTTTCAAGAGAATATGACAAAGATATTTTTTATGGAAACATTTTCGCTCAGAAAAATTGAAGTAACAAAAGCCAGAGAAAATAAGAAGATAAAACATAAGATAAAATTTTTAAAAAAAATGAGGTTACAAGCTAAACAAAACATTAGTCAGGTAAACAAATTTAATGGAAAAAATCAGGAACGGAAAATCGATGCCCTAAAATCTTTCATCTAAAATTGAATAATTGTTCACTTACATGCACTGTATACAAAAGTCTTCTTCATTACTATGTAAATGATACTAAAATAAAATTGAGAATGGAAATACTGTATGGATGTTACGCTTTATATATAAGTATCAACGATTTAGATTGCTTGATAGCTAATTTATTTTACAGGTATTTTCTGTTATCAGATGAATTTTCGTTCGTATTTCACCACAGTTGACTACCGGGTGCATGTATATACAATAAGATATATTTTTTTATCTATATTGTGGTATTTGTATGCTCTATTGAATGCGACTGTTTTTGCTCACACATTCTGATGGCAAAATATTCCTGGAATTCAATTCCTTCTGAATGTTTAATTTAACTTCTCTATTGATATTCGGTGTAATCAAACAGATATGTAATGTTCAGGAGGGGTATTAGCTAAAAATCTAAACTTGAGAAAGAATTTCCTTATGTTCATAACATTTTTTAAAGAAATCTTTTGATGACTAATTTGATCTACCGAAAGGATGAATTTACCTTATATATAGCTTCTTTGGTTATTCGTAACATCACATTCGGTAAGATAAGAACTATCAATAAAATAATACCATACTATTGTTACCTATGAATTTCTTTTATTAATAATTGATGCAAATGTTTATGAAAATTGATATATTTTTCCAGGCAATATTTATTTTAATGGTTCTAGGATGGTTCTTTGTACCTGTTTACACAGCAGCTGGGGTGAGTTCCGACACAATTATTGATGCTATGTCATCACTAATCCTTATAATGAAACGTCAGGATAATGCATAATGGAATGTTTCTCTTATTTAAAAAAATGATTACATGAAAATATTTTTTTTTATTTCTATTTCAAATATAATTTTAAAAAGGTACTTTTTTTTTATTCATTAAGGTGCATATATTTCAGTCGATACCTCCGATTAAAAAAAACAATATTTGTCTTTCATCTTGTCATCTTGTCATTACTTGTTGAAATAAAATCAAAATTTACGGTACTACCAAAATATTTCCATTTACATGTCATCTTAACTTTTTGTTTTCTTTTAAAACATTTTCCTTTTTTCTGATATACACACTTGTATTTTTTTACAATTTACTAGATGTTTACCATGCCAGAATACACTTGTCTTTTTTTACAATTTACTAGGTGTTTACAATGCCAGAATACACTTGTCTTTTTTTTTACAATTAACTAGGTGTTTGCAATGCCAGAATACACTTGTCTTTTTTTTTTACAATTAACTAGGTGTTTACAATGCCAGAATACACTAACCTTGTCTTTTTTTTACAATTAACTAGGTGTTTACAATGCCAGAATACACTTGTCTTTTTTTACAATTAACTAGTTGTTTACAACGCCAGAATACACTTGTCTTTTTTTTTACAATTAACTAGTTGTTTACAATGCCAGAATACACTTGTCTTTTTTTACAATTTACTAGGTTTTTACAATGCCAGAATACACTTGTCTTTTTTTACAATTAACTAGTTGTTTACAATGCCAGAATACACTTGTCTTTTTTTTTACAATTAACTAGTTGTTTACAATGCCAGAATACACTTGTCTTTTTTTACAATTTACTAGGTGTTTACAATGCCAGAATACACTTGTCTTTTTTTTTACAATTAACTAGGTGTTTGCAATGCCAGAATACACTTGTCTTTTTTTTTTACAATTAACTAGGTGTTTACAATGCCAGAATACACTAACCTTGTCTTTTTTTTACAATTAACTAGGTGTTTACAATGCCAGAATACACTTGTCTTTTTTTACAATTAACTAGTTGTTTACAATGCCAGAATACACTTGTCTTTTTTTTTACAATTAACTAGTTGTTTACAATGCCAGAATACACTTGTCTTTTTTTTTACAATTAACTAGTTGTTTACAATGCCAGAATACACTTGTCTTTTTTACAATTAACTAGGTGTTTACAATGCCAGAATACATTTGTCTTTTTTTACAATTAACTAGTTGTTTACAATGCCAGAATACACTTGTCTTTTTTTTTACAATTAACTAGTTGTTTACAATGCCAGAATACACTTGTCTTTTTTTACAATTTACTAGGTGTTTACAATGCCAGAATACACTTGTCTTTTTTTACAATTAACTAGGTGTTTACAATGCCAGAATACATTTGTCTTTTTTTACAATTAACTAGGTGTTTACAATGCCAGAATACATTTGTCTTTTTTTACAATTAACTAGGTGTTTACAATGCCAGAATACACTTGTCTTTTTTTACAATTAACTAGGTGTTTACAATGCCAGAATACATTTGTCTTTTTTTACAATTAACTAGTTGTTTACAATGCCAGAATACACTTGTCTTTTTTTACAATTTACTAGGTTTTTACAATGCCAGAATATTTGAAGAAAAGATTTGGAGGACAAAGAATCAGAGTGTACCTCTCTGTTTTAGCGCTGTTGCTATATGTCTTTACAAAGCTCTCGGTGAGTTAAAATGTCAGATAAAAATAAACGAAAAAAATATATATAATTGTATATGTCAAGGAGACAAGCAACCTTACAGCACAAAACCAGAAAAAGGTGCAGCCATTTTCTGTTTAGCTCCTTTGAACTTCCAAGGCAAAATTTTGTAGATACTTTGTAACATATAATATTTCATTGTCATGAAAAATTCATTGTAATCATTGTATGAAATTTAAAACTCGCAATGGTCCATAATTGGTCAATTAAAGATATATCTATTTCTATAATACCAGAAGACCACACTTATTAGAGACTTTATAAAGGTGTAATGTATAACAAAATGTTATGAGGTTGGTAAATTAGCATTGAATTTTACCGTAGAAAAATGTAAATGATTTGATGTCACAGATTATTTCAAATAACTTTTGAAACATTACCATTTGGTCAATTACCAATAACCACATTGGCCTGTTTTTGCTCATGTTCCTAGTAAATATATAATACAGAGCTATCCAATTGTTTTAAGCTTATGAAATTTAATGACATTTTCATTTTGTATTATTTTCAAATTTGCAGGCAGATTTATTTTCTGGGGCCATTTTTATAACACAATCGTTTAAGGATTTGAATCTCTATGTTGCTGTTATCATTTTACTTGCAATCTCTGCTGTTTTTACAATAGCTGGTGAGTACATGTTTATATCATTAATGAAATAACAGATGAAATAAAACGCACAACTGAATTTTCTGGATTCAAAATCAATTTTTTGTTTTCATTTATTTATGAAGGAATGAATTAGAAAATTACTACCAAATCATAATTTCGAAATGTACTTATTTTTATAAAAAAAGAAGATGTGGTATGATTGCCAATGAGACAACTCTCCACAAGAGACCAAATGACATAGAAATTAACAACTATAGGTCACCGTACGGCCTTCAACAATGAGCAAAGCCCATACCGAACAGTCAGCTATAAAAGGCCCCGAAATGACAATGTAAAACAACTCAAACGAGAAAACTAACGGCCTAATCTATGTACAAAAAATGAACGAAAAACAAATATGTAACACATAAACAAACGACAACCACTGAATTACAGGCTCCTGACTTGGGACAGGCACATACATACAGAATGTGGCGGGGTTAAACAAGTTAGCGGGATCCCAAACCCTCCCCCTAACCTGGGACAGTGGTGTAACATCACAACATAAGAACGAACTATAAAAATCAGTTGAAAGAGGCTTAACTCATCAGATGGATAAGAATACAAATACTACAAATACATGTGGACGTGGCCGGGTACTTATACATACAAACAATTTTTTTTGCCTTTTCCATTGACTAACAACAAATCCTCTGAAACTGTATAAATAATGTACTACATATTGACGACTTCACGTTGCCCTCATGATGTGCTTTTGTTATTTGGATGCTGTTGATACAAACCCCAAATCTAGTTTTATTCATATATATAAGAATTGTAATGGCAAAACCCCGAAAACAAAAACTCACAAATTGCTGTTTCAAACATATATTTTATATTTTATTTGTCAGGTGATTGATCTAATGCGCCTATTGTTTTCCCTAGGTGGATTGACGGCTGTAATATGGACAGACTTCATTCAAGTTATCATTATGATCATTGGAGCTTTCATTATGATGATTTTGAGTAAGTTTATCAACATACGTAGTTTTGCGAGTTCGGTTGTGCGGGATGTATAAATACACAACCATGTACGGTCAACATTGCGACATTAAATCCGTATCTTGCAGTAACTTTTTGGGGGTCCGTTTGAGACCTGTTATCTATTCTATCTAATATACATCTTTTTCAAGTGGCAGTCTAAATTTCCCACCCTTCTGTCCGGTTAATCAACTTCACTAACATCAAGTTTTCATGATATTCTTGTGTAATAAAGCCATATTTTATTCTGTCATTGAGATAACATGCTCTGTACTGAGTCTCTAGTTATGGTATTGCCAATCTTCGTTGTGTTGTGTCTATGTTTATGGCATTGCAAATCTTTGTTGTGCTGTGTCTCTGTCTATGATAATGCAAATCTATGTTGTGCCGTGTCTCTGTTTATGATATTGCCAATCTTCGTTGTGATTTCAGCACTTATTCAACTTCATCTTTATAAATTTAAATACATTCTATCTTCGTTGTGGTTTTTTTTCTTTACACTATTTCGACCACACTATCATGAATTAAAAGCAACAATAACTGAAACAAATACATTCCATGATAAATTACTTCTTATTGTGAAACTTCAGTTCAGTGAAAATTTATTAAAACCAGGGTATGTTTGTGATCGGTTAAACTTGCGACGCAAAGTCTGAGGCTCATAAACTTTCTAACCCTGTTCTAACCCTGTCGAATGAGCGACCTATCTTTGCTTAGAAGTTTGAAAGTTTCGGAAAATTGTAGAATTGCTGTTTTGGTGAAAATCTTTGAAACTCTACAATAAACCTTAAAAGTAAGAAATAAACTGCATTAAACAAAATAATTATACAAAAAAAGACTTTACGCGTACAACAACGACTTTCATGCAGAGGAAAACAAATACGACGAGATGTTTGTGGAAACAATTTAGAACATTATTTCATTGAAATTAATGCATTTCCTACCAATCAGCTTCCTACAAAAGTAACATGCTGCAAAAATATTACTGTTTACAAGATATCATGAATAGTAGATCGTGCAGCGTGTACCACAGTGTAACAAGATCTTAAACTATTAACTTCTATGTCATTTGGTCTCTGGTGGAGAGTTGTCTCATTAGCAATTATACCACATCTTCTTATTTTTATACCTCTTTAATTGTAGGTTTTATTGAGGTTGGTGGTTACGAAGCCATGATACAGAAGTATTTCGCCTCCTTTCCGGACACTACGATATATAACATGGGAAATTCTAGTTATAAATATGCTAAATGTGGAATACCACCGGATAACGCCATGCATTTGATTCGATCTGCTGATGATGGCAGTTTACCATGGCCAGGAATATTTTTTGGTTTGACAATATCTGCTGTCTGGTATTGGTGTTCTGATCAAGTAAGTAAGATGTTTTATTTCTGCATATTGGTTCATAAATGGAATTTGTATGTATAGTAAGAAATTATCTCTTCAGCATTGCATTCTTTCTCAGTATTAAGTGTAATTCCGTTAAGGATACAACAGATACAGTTAAGTCTACCTCATATCTTGACTTACATCTAAAAATTGACAATGTGGATCGGTTGAGAACAAACATTTACGACAAAAGAAATCATTTCAGCATTCCAATTATGAACTTTTCATGTCTATGTAGCAACAATCCAGCTGCGCCTGCATACGGAGTATATATCTCCCAGTTGATACGATCTTCCAGGGCTTGAATTTCCTATCATGATTTTCTTGATAGAGGGTTGCTGCTCACAAGGAAGCTATATAACCAAGAGTTCCAAGTGGTGAAGTTGAAATCACCCCTTCGTAAATTTTACGGCCGCCATCACGAGTTGGTTGACACTTATGGAATATCTGATTCACATAACTACAATCCCGTCTCCTTTATCCCGAATGTGACCTACCGAATTAGACTTATCACCGAGTGTTTACTAACATGAGCAATACGACGGGTGTCACATGTGGAGCAGGGTCTACTTATCCTTCAGGAGCCCCCGAGATCACCCCCAGTTGTTTGATGGGGTTCGTGTTGCTCAGTCTTTAGTTTTCTATGTTGTGTTTTGTGTACTGTTGTTTTTCTGTTGGTCTGTTTGTCTGTTAGTCTTTTTTTAACATCTGCAATTATAGGAATAATACTAATCCCTTTGTCGTGCATGTGAAATAACATGAGGCACATAAAGAATGATTTTTGGTGAAGAGGTAATTTCTTAAGTCGTCTTTTCTGTTGAGGTTCATGTTACTCATTCTCGAGTTTTCCGTGAAGATTTTTGTTGAGTGTTAATTGCCTATTAATCTGTTTAACTTTTTTTAACTAGAGATTTTGATTATTCACTTGGTATTTTTATTCTCTTCGAAAGTCAAATGATCACTGCACTGTAGAATCCATTGCACACTTCTGTACATAAGAATATTACAGATTATATAATAATATATTTAAGAAAAAGTACAAATAATTCTGAAAGGAAAGAGTATTAAATTGTATCTTTCTTTTCTATCGTTGACACAGTTTAATAATTTAGTTTTCTATGTTGTGTTTTGTATACTGTTGTCTTTTGGTAGTTTTTCATTGTTTAGCCATGGCTTTGTCAGTTTGTTTTCGACTTTTGAGTTTGACTATCTCTTTGGTATTTTTCGCCTCTCTTTTGAAGATAACACATAGACTTACCGTTTTAGTGTCTATTTGTAAACAGGTGATAGTACAGAGAGCCTTAGCTGCAAAGAACTTATCACATGCAAAAGCTGGTACAATTTTAGCTGGTTATCTGAAGTTTTTGCCTCTTTGGATAATGGTTTTTCCTGGCATGATTTCAAGAATTTTGTACAGAGGTAGGTACCCTATATATTATCCGATTAAAATAAGACTAAAAATCGAAGAATAAGGATGACCTTGCATAAAAATATACTTACTTTAAATTTAATTTCTGCTCGGTGCATCGAATGCATGGCAGATCTCCACTTACCACACATGACAACTATTAATGTTCTTTTAAATAATCGCTTCATGAAAAGTTTGACATAACGATTTTTGTATAAAATAACATTTTCTCTTCATACTTTGTAGCGAAAAAAAATATTCAAGTAATGGACACTTAATGACTTTCAAATGTACTATTAGGAAACTTTGGGGTTAGACATAAATATTTAAAACCAGAAATATAAGATTGCCTTTCTTTAATCAACAATAAAGCAATACTAAATATTTCTTTGTCACGATTTGTAAACGACCGACAAAATGTATTTATTTAAATACATGGGTAATGAGAACAAACGTGACATTTGTTGTTCATGGTACATGGTGTATTTCCCGTAAGAATACATCTTCGTTTAGGATGAACTGCTTACTAACTGATAAATTATAGCAGAAAGGTTTGCATACTTGGAAATCAGAATGTTCTTTTATCGAATTCATTCCTTTTTTGAAAGTTCTGTTTTAATAATAATTGTTATTGTACATTATTTACTCTTTACTGTACAGTTCAGGATTACGTACCAACAAAACGATGGAGGTTATGCATTGTTGAAATTTATTTTGTATTGCCTCCACATTTCCCAAGGGTTAACTGATGACAGGACCCTTCGTTTGCCTCTAATAGCCCCGCCCTCTCTATTCATTTTTATAAACATTGTAAAGTATGTTGACACACTAATGAGAAAATTTATACCAGGCATGGGGTCATTTACATGGCAAAGTAATTATTTACATTGCAATTACATACTGATTTTTTTTTCAATTTAATTACAGTTATAATTACATTAATTTTTAAATGTAATTACATTGCAATTATTTTTGTGTTAAGAACTTTATCATAATATATAGGATAAACATGTAAACCAGCTACTATTTGATTTTTTTAAATGCACGGTTTAACATTGAAACATTTGCACAGGCATTGATGTAAGTTTTGAGATTTTATATTTCTGATTACTTACATTGAACGACGGTATACTACTATTGCCTTTATTAGGTCTCACCGACCGCGTGCGAGGGCTTACCAGCTAGTCAATGTCGTTCAAAACCACCAAGTTATAGTACTTACTTAGTCCTTGCTATACCTCTTTGCACTCAGAACAAGGACAATCATCAATAATCATTATCTTTATGTGTCAAAGGCACATTTGTCTCTTTGATTTTGCATGACACCATATCTGTTGTACGTTGGGGTGCTACCATTCTCTATTCGGTCATGCCTTTTCTTTATTAGTTTATCCTGACTTTTTTTACATAAATTGTCATCCTGCCTTTTTTTTGCCAAGTTGCTCATCCTGCCTTTTTTTTACCTCAAAACTCCTGTACTGCCTTTTTTCAAATTTTATTCTAACCCCCCCCCCCCCCATAAAATCAAATGGTAGCTCCCTTACGCCTTTCTGAAAACCTAGTGTGTGTTGTTTTAAATGATTTCTATTGACAATTTGATTTTTTTAATCAATGTTCATAATTGCTTTTCTGGAACCCCAATGTTCATCAAAATTAAAACAACCAAGCAGTATTTTACCTTAAGACGATGCCATTCAATATGCTACCTGTTTGCACCAATCAACTTTATGTTTATATGTAAATTAATTGATTAGTTTGCAATGAAGAACTATGTAGCATTTGGCATAATTATCCAGGGACAAGTCAAATTGTTGTACTTGTTTAATTATTTGCGTGGAAAGTTATTACGAGGCTAAGATTATCTTGAATGGTGGTATAACAAATTTAACATAACAAATTGACCTGCTTCGGATAGAAATCGACCTATATATGCAAGTGCACGTATACGTGTATGTGTGTAAGACTTTGAATGAATTTTGAACATTCAAATACGAAATAAAAGACGCGTTTTGGTCTGTTTTGTAGGGTTCTTACATAACAGACTTTGCATAGAGTTTTTTTTCAACTCGAAATAGGTTAAAAGATGTATTAATATTCATTTGCATAAGGTCGATTTCTGTCCGCCGCAGCTCAAATGTCAATAAATAGATATTGTTCTTAATGTTATTTTTTAATGTGATGAAATAAATTAATGAATTAGATGAAGAGTGAATGATATTATATATGTTTTTTAAACTTCCATGCAATATTAAGCAATAATTTTTCTCTGTACAGATTCTGTTGGTTGTGCTGATCCAGATGTATGTGAAGAGGCATGTGGCTCTAGAGCTGGGTGCAGTAACATTGCATTCCCTAAATTAGTGTTAGGGATCATGCCTACTGGATTGAAAGGTCTTATGTTAGCTGTGATGATGTCTGCCTTGATCTCATCACTGACGTCCATATTTAACAGCAGTAGTACTCTTTTTACTATTGACATATGGTTAAGGATCCGTAAGAAGGCATCAGATGTAGAACTTATGATTGTTGGAAGGTAAGTGTATAAAAAATAAAGGCGAAAGATACCAAAGGGAAGTTCAAACTCACAAGTAGAAAACAAACTGACAATGCAATAGCAAAAAAATAAAAACGATTAAAAAACCAATTCAAAACACAGCATAGAAAACTAAAGACTCGGCAACATGAACCCAACCAAATCCGGGAGTGATCGCAGGTGCTTCGGAATGGTAAGCAGATCCTGCTCCACATGTGGCACCCGTCGTGATGCTCAAGTTGATACATGTTATGCTGCTTTTTATTACAGTTTGATTCAAACAGATATGAATTCTTTTCCATAAATATATCAACTGTAATGTAGCAGAAAAATAAGGAGACAACTACATGTAATCACAAAAAGACATAATGATTAGGATATAAACCACAACAGATCACCGTACAGCATTTAACCACTAGCAAAACCTTAGTTGAAGTAAGATTTAAAAAGCCCCGGAAAACGAAATGTGAAGAATACAACATGGAATTCTAACGGCTTGTTTTAAGCTAAAAGCAATACACGAAAACATTTATGGTAGATAGTAGCTTACGACAACCACTCGTCGGATGTCTAGTACATGCTTCTGTCTTGTGATCGGCACATTTAGAATGGTGATTGGTAAAACATATCTGTTAGAACTAATTCCACCCCTTACTTTGGACAGTGTATTCGGATATACTGTGAAAATCAGCAAAGGTCTTCTCTTGTCGGGTTAGTATTAGAAATAAAAGCAACTCACACAAAGCCATAATAAAGACCGATGTAAGAGTACTCGCAGTTGCGAACAGCTTATTCAAGGCCAAAATCGTCCTGAATATGCATGAAATATTTGCCACTGGACGTTAAGCAACCAACAATCAATCAATCATTCAAGGCCAAATTTCATATAATTATAAAATAGACCATGTTTTTGCTGCTAAAATATATTCAATTTATAAACTCTACCCATGTCTCAAAATGCTCTTTTAGTTGGCATTCGTTTTGTAGATTTTTATTGACTTGTTGAAGGCCGTACGTATACGGTTACTTATAGTTGTAAATTTTTGTGTCATTTGGTCTTTTGTGGAGAGTTGTCTCATTGGCAATCATACCACATCTTCTTTTTTTATTGACTTAACCTGTAAAGTTAAAATGATAGAAAATACTATAAAGCAATACACGGACTAATTCGCATCTCATTGGTTTTTGCTGCAATTACACATTGGGTAGATTTAATTAATGACGAATTTAAACGCCTTGATAATGATTAGAAAGTTTATACAAAAATAATGGTGGGCAATAACGTCCACAAAATTTAGATATTAAAATAAAAAACTGCTTACACTTTCGGAGCGCTTGATATCATCCCCGGCTTTTGATTGGGTTCGTGTTGCACGGCTTTTAGTTTTCTAAGTTGTGTTTTGGAAACTATTGTTTGTGTTTTGGTCGTTTTTCGTTTTTTGCTAGGCTTTTTCAGTTTGTCCTCGACTTTTATAAGTTTGAATTACCTTTAGATATCTTCTGCCTCTCTTTTATGACTTTGGGTTTATTTATAGCAAAATAAAAATCCATCATTGTTTTTATAATTAAGATCTCAAATTAATATGACATAGTGTGTGCTTGTATTTACGTTATTCTGTGCTAATTTTAAATTGGCCTAAATTAGGCACTGATCCTATAATATATACGTTTGATTAACCTTTTCTTGTATTGAAGGGAGGGTCGTGTGTGTTGGGATAAAAGATAGTCAAAGATACTAAAGGGATATTCAAACTCACAAGTTGAAATCAAATTGACAATGCCATGAAACATAACCGAAAAACGACAAAAAAAAAAACGAACAACAGTATACAAAACACAACATAGAAAACTAAAGACTGAGCAACACAAACCCCACCGTTGTGTTTATTCTTTGCGAAGAATACAAAATGATTAGAATATTTGAATAATATCTCTCCTAACAAGTTTTCATTTTCATTTTTTGTAGATGTTGTGTATTGATCTTGGTAGTCGTTTCAATTGTATGGATTCCAATTATTCAGAATATCTCAGAACTTTTCCATTATATTCAGGCAATAACAAGCTTTTTAGCGCCACCAGTATGTGCGATTTACGTTCTAGCTGTCTTCTGGAAAAGGACAAACGAACAGGTATGTTAATTAAAAAACAAATGCTCAATACGTTTTTATTCGCCTGCTTGACATAATCGGGGGTATATAGGAATTTAGAACGTCCTTCCGTCCGTCTATCACACTTTTTGTTTTCAGATGATACAAAAAGAACATTTTTAAAACAGGAATTAGTAATTGAAATCACAACAGATTGTTTAAGACCACGAAATACAGGTTGCGATTATTGTCCTTTTCACTTTAACCGTTCGACAATTATAGTACGTAGTTGTTGGAAAACATCTTTTTATTTTTTTCTTATAATTAATGGCCTACTCCTTTTTGAAATTTGTTGAAATTTCAATGGAATGTTTAGGACCACTTAATACAGTTCGTCGTTTTTACTTTTTTTTTCTAGAGTTATTGTTCTTTCTTGTTGAGAAATTAGAAAAATTGTAGTATCTGGATGATAAGTTCGGTTTAGGTAATTTTTCACTTTTATTTATCCAGACTTTAAGAACTTGTTTGTTGGAAATTTTTTTGTGATTTCCGGATATCAAATAGAGAACTCTTTTTGAAATTGATTGAAATTTTAATGGAATATTCTGGACTCCTTAACAAATTAATACATTACTTCAAATCAACTATCAAAGTACTTTCTGTTCTGGGTATTTTTTTTGTATAAAAGTAGGTAAATGAAAAGATGCTTAATTTATAATGCAAAATTGTCAAATGAAATACATGGCATTGTAATAATGAAAATCTTGAATTGTGCTTTATTATCAGAAACCTTATAATTCCAGGGTGCATTTTGGGGACTAATGATAGGATTAGTAGTTGGATTAACTCGATTCATTTGGGAATATGCATACACTGTCCCGCCATGTGGCGAAGAAGAAGACGATAATAGACCGGACATTATCAGCAAAGTTCATTACCTTCACTTCGGTATTATTCTCTTTGGAATTTGCTTTATAGCAACAATTGTGATCAGTCTGCTCACTAAACCTATTCCAGATAAACACGTGAGTATATTGAGAAATGAGCACACAAATAATCTAAAACAGACAACCAAATGTTATCGAAGATTAAGGTGGTACCAAATACATTGACTAAAATTAATTTGGCTCGTTTAATGTTCATAAAATTTTGACAAAATATTTACTTTGACCCTTTGAAAAAAATATAAAAATTTCCAAAAACTTGAACCACACACTTTATCGGAAAAATTTCATTGGATATATAGCAGTTTGACAATCACTAATTTTGATCATTGAGAAGGTTAATATTTCCTTAACAATATAACGTGATTAAAACGTTTAGCTGTAACCTCCATGTAGTGTTATGTATCACCTTAATAAAACGATTAAAGCGATAATTCATATGGTGCAATCACTCGTAAATATGTTTTAGTTATTATCGGCTATTTTGATTTTAACACCATATGAAAAGTCTACACCTGAACATGTTAAGTCTTGTTCAGAGTTAAAGTTGTTTTTCAGATATTTCTTTAGTGTAAAGTCAGTAATATTCAGGCGTTTAATTTGCAGTTAATCCAGAACATTTCAGTATGTTATTGTTTAGTACAGGTACATTTTTGAATATCAACTACTGAACAGTCTGATCATAAATAGACTGAACCGATCCTTGAAATTTAAGTTAAAAATTGATAATCTTTATTACTAAAATATAACGACATTTCTACTGTTATCTTTGTTAATTGTAAAGTCTACAATGCTTTTCTTGTTTGAATTATTTATTCTGGTTATATAACATTTTGTAAAGAGGTAAGCCGTTGACGCATTTTTGACATTCCATGTGCAGTATCAACAATGAGATAATATAATTTTATATTATATAATATATATAATACACGAACACTACGACGATTTATAACCTGTAGGATTGTGAAAAAATGTCTAATTATACATGTACACCAAAACGAAAATGGCGCTATATCATTAGTTTCACATACATATATTGGTAACCAATGTCAAGGATTTGGGAAAAACGTTTAACAAGTTACCTAGATATGTAGTTAATTCAGTACTGGTGTATTATCAAGTATCTTTTTTATAAGTAATAAAAACATAACTTCTTACAGCTTCATCGCCTGACATTTTGGAATCGATATAGTACAGAAGAAAGAGAAGATTTGGATGTTGAACCAGATAGGTCGAGTCACCATGAATCTAAACTGGATCAATTTGGTAAGTCGTTAACAGCCTTGTCCTTGTCGGTTGGTTAGTTATCTTACTGGCAACCATACTACATCTCCTGATGTTTAGAATAATAGCCGACTCAGCTTAAAGCAAAATATTCAAAACGATTTGTCATACTTTCCATTATGAAATATTGTTACGTGTTTATTTCTCTAGATGTTTAAGAATTTTGAAAAAAATCGCTCTTTTCTAAAATAGAAAGTTAAAGATGTTCAAATGTCATGAATCAATTATGAAGAAGAAGATACAAATTAAAGCCAAAAAAACAAAAAAAGAACTGGTATCTTAAGATCCAAGACTTCGATTACATTTCCTAGTGAGTTGAGAATCACACACATCGTATCTTTCAACCAATTTGTGATGGAGACCGTCAACCTTATGTAGGATCGATTTCAGTCATGTTTCTTCATAACTCTGCTAGAGCAGTGTATGTTACACGAGAACAAAACCTTAAATGTAAAAAAATAAGTAAATTTGTGGTACTGCATAATACAAATGAAGAAATTTTTTAATTTCTTATTTTTGGTCAAACATATATTTTTGTTTATTTATTTATTCATTTTGTTTTGCTTCATTGAAATCAAATGTGTATTATCTTTAAATTTACAATACTTATATGTTTTGTTTGTTCGTAAAAAAAATCTGAATGTACCGGGAATCCGGGAATCAATTTTAAAATCCCAAATCAGATAGGGCCACACAATTCCATGGCGAAACAATAATACGTAAAGTATTACACAACAAGTAAAGATTGAACACACGCTTTTATTAATTTATAACTATAGTCTATTTGAGTTCTGTATGTCTTAAAAGATAGATTCAAAAAGTTTAACTCCATAGCCGAATTTGGATTTTCCTTTCTTTGTGTTAAATGAACTATTACAATTGTTTCCAGTTTCGTGTTGTCAATTAATAAAAAGGTTGTTCATAAAGTGACTTATATGATAAAATGTATGTACCTATACACAATGAGGTAAAGTTTAGACAGCAAAAGAGTTCCAAAGAGTACAAAACTATAAATAGGAGCGTTACAATCAGTTCATTCCCTACATTACCATTATGTACCGTGTTAACCAAATTTACACATTAGACCAAATGGACAACTTTCTAATAACTGAAGCAACATTTGAAAATTAATTGAAGAATTGATTGAAGAGTTTATGCCCTTTGACCTCGTACTTTTTGGGCTCTTTTTAGCTCACCTGGCCCGAAGGGCCAAGTGAGCTTTTCTCATCACTTGGCGTCCGTCGTCCGGCGTCGTCCGTCGTCGGCGTTAACTTTTTACATTTTGAACTTCTTCTAGAGAACCACTAAATGGAATGAAACCAAACATGGCATGCATGTTCCTTATGAGGTGCTGACCAAGTGTTGTTACTTTGTAGCCGACCCATCATCCAAGATAGCCGCCAGCGGGGGCCTTAGTTTAACATAGGACCCTATGGGAAATGCATACAAATGACTTCTTTTAGAGAACCACTGTATGGAATGGAACCAAACATGGCATGAATGTTCCTTATGAGGTGCTGACCATGTGTTGTTACTTTGTAGCCGATCCATCATCCAAGATGGCCGCCATCGGGGAACTTAGTTTAACATAGGACCCTATGGGAAATACATACAAATGTCTTCTTTTAGAGAACCACTGAATGGAATGAAACCAAACATGACATGAATGTTCCTTATGAGGTGCTGACCAAGTTTTGTTACTTTGTAGCCGATCCATCATCCAAGATGGCCGCCAGCGGGGGACTTAGTTTAACATAGGACCCTATGGGAAATACATACAAATGTCTTCTTTTAGAGAACCACTGAATGGAATGGAACCAAACATGGCATGAATGTTCCTTATGAGATGCTGACCAAGTGTTGTTACTTTGCAGTCGGTCCATCATCCAAGATGGCCGCCAGCGGGGGACTTAGTTTAACATAGGACCCTATGGGAAATACATACAAATGTCTTCTTTTAGAGAACCACTGAATGGAATGAAACCAAACATGGCATGAATGTTCCTTATGAGGTTCTGACCAAGTGTTGTTACTTTGTAGCCGATCCATCATCCAAGATGGCCGCCAGCGGGGGACTTAGTTTAACATAGGACCCTATGGGAAATACATACAAATGTCTTCTTTTAGAGAACCACTGAATGGAATGGAACCAAACATGGCATGAATGTTCCTTATGAGATGCTGACCAAGTGTTGTTACTTTGTAGCCGATCCATCATCCAAGATGGCCTCCAGCGGGGGACTTAGTTAAACATAGGACCGTATGGGAAATACATAAAAATGACTTCTTTTAGAGAACGAATAAATGGAATGGAACGAAACATTGCATGAATGTTCCTTATGAGATGTTGACCAAGTGTTGTTACTTTGCAGTCGGTCAATCATCCAAGATGGCCGCCAGCGGGGAACTTAGTTTAACATAGGACCCTAAAGGAAATACATACAAATGTCTTCTTTTAGAGAACCACTGAATGGAATGAAACAAAACATGGCATGAATGTTCCTTATAAGGTGCTGACCAAGGGTTGTAACTTTGCAGTCGGTCCATCATCCAGGATGGCCGACAGCGGGGAACTTAGTTTAACATTGGACCCTATGGGAAATACATACAAATGTCTTCTCTTAGAGAACCAGTGAATGGAATGAAACCAAACATGGCATGCATGTTCCTTATGAGGTGCTTACCAAGTGTTGTTACTTTGCAGCCGATCCATCATCCAAGATGGCTGCCAGTGGGTGACATAGTTTAACATAGGACCCTACGGGAAATACATACAAAATGTCTTCTTTTAGAGAACCTCTGAATGGAATGGAACCAAACATGGCATGAATGTTCCTTATGAGGTGTTGACCAAGTGTTGTTTCTTTGCAGCCGATCCATCATCCAAGATGGCCGCCAGCGGGGGACTTAGTTTAACATAGGACCCTATGGGAAATACATACAAATGTCTACATTTAGAGAACCACTGAATGGAATGAAACCAAACATGGCATTAATGTTCCTAATGAGGTGCTGACCAAGTGTTGTTACTTTGCAGTCAGTCCATCATCCAAGATGGCCGACAGCGGGGGACTTAGTTTAACATAGGACCCTATGGGAAATACATACAATTGTCTTCTTTTAGAGAACCAGTGAATGGAATGGAACCAAACATGGCATGAATGTTCCTTATGAGGTGCTGACCAAGTGTTGTTACTTTGCAGTCGATCCATCGTCTAAGATGGCCGCTAGGGGGGTGGGGGGTGGGGGGGGGGCTTAGTTTAACATAGGACCCTATGGGAAATACATACAAATGTCTTCTTTTAGAGTACCACTGAATAGAATGAAACCAAACATGGCATGAATGTTCCTTATGAAGTGCTGACCAAGTGTGGCTATTTTGTTGCCGATTTACTCTTCAAGATGGCCACCAGGATATTTTATTAAATAACGGGACCAATATTAATCCAAATTTGGCCTCAATCATTATCTGGGTATCTGTTATGATTTTTATCTATCTTTACATGATTTCTAAATCCAAAGTAGAGTCAGGTGAGCGACACAGGCTCTTGAGAGCCTCTAGTTTTATTTGAGCGTCACTGATGAGTTTTCAGAGTCTCATACAAAACTATAAGCCAGGTATATATTTTTTTTATTACATTAAAAAGATAAATATATAGGACGAAATAAACAAAGTAATTTAAAAATCTGATTTTGTAAATTATCTTTGACTTAAATGCGCTATCGTTCTGCCACATATGATTATTCATATTGTAATCTTTTGCAGCGGAAGAAGATTTTGATTCGCTGCCTTGTTACACGAGGGCTTTCAGATGGATATGTGGAATTGAAAAAATGGAACAAGAACCACATGTATCCGAAGAAGAAAAGAAAGCTTTAGAAGCTAAGCAAAACTCTATCCATGAAACAAAGACATGGAGATATATTCTAAATATAAACGCTGTTGTGTTGATGACACTGGCAATATTTTTATGGGGATTCTATGCATGAATGATTACATTAAATACGACCAATGGAATATATAATATACTGTAAAAATGTTATCAAATGTAACAAGTGTCCAGTGTCACATATCTAACATTGGAAATATCGTGGACATAAATATTGAATCGAGAGTAAATAGAGAAAAATATGTATACATTAAAGAACCTGGGGCTCTTTTCACAAAAAATCTTACGAGTAAAAATAGTCGTAAGTCATGAACATTTCAGTATAACTTACGATAAATTTTAATCGTAAGATTTTTTGTGAAAAGAGTCGCTGCTATATGGATAAAACTTAAGAATTGTATTCAGTAGATTTTACACCAATCCAAATGCTATACCTACAACATTTTTTCATATACTTTTTAACCAACATTTTAAAATAGACGCCAATTCAAGTACATGTTTATTATAAGTTCTATTGATTTTTTGTGTTAAAGAATCAGGAAATCAGGAAAACCTTTTCAGACAGTAAGTTGGTCAAACGGCGCAAACAGGATGTCAGTTATAGTCAAATACCGGAACTTAGAATTAATGCATTGACTTTCAATCTTACTACTTGCATTGGCAGACTTGACGTTCCTAATCACATTTCATGGTAAACAATAATGTCCATAATGTTGTTCAATCCAAAAAAATACAATTGCATTACACGTTCGTGTCCCTATCAAAACTTTCCAAAATATGGTTATTCATTATTAGCCTTCATTTTAAATTATATCTGCACTTGATATAGTTGAAATCAAAATACGTTAGTGTCCATATCCCAGCCATTGTATGTAGTTTGACGTTTTTATGACTATATTTTGTAAACAAGTATAGATTCAAGCAAGTTGTCCTTTGTCTCATCTTTTATAATGGCAATGCTATATAATATATATTTTTATAAATGAACAAAACACAATTGTATATATTTTGTACCATGTACCTTTTTTTTAAATAAACGGATAAAAAGATTGTTATTTTCTTGAATTCATAAATCAAATTTACAGGACATATGCCAAAGATCCGTGATGTGTGGTGATTGTTCCCGATCATTCGGTTAATAGGTCCAAATTCAGGAATGCTACATGGAAAACATGTTGATAATCAAAAATGCAATATGAATAAAAGAGTTAGTTGTTGGGTAAAAGTATGTTAAACACCAATCAACCAACGTAATGTAATGACCCACATCAACTACTGCAGCGATTGTGCTTTAATTTGAAGATATTTCAAGATACCCTGCAATAAAGATACATATTTTGCTGTATTTTCTCCAGAATACTACCATATTGCTTCAAAAAGAGAGAGACTATACCAACGTTTGTGGAATTTACCACATCCCTTCCGGTTATGTTTGAGCCTATAAAGTTCATTTTTACAATTTTCTTTTTAATGTTATTTTTTTGTTAAGTGTGCTGCGTTCTGAGATAACTGATTTGACGGATATTGGAAAATATCTGTATCGTTTTATAAGGAAAACCTTTTCATGCAGTGATTAGGGTATGAGAAATGCGTAATCTTTAATTTGAGGAGAGGGATGCCTGCAAACGTTTGAGTATAATTCTAAATCATTTTACGGACCAAGAATGGTATTTAAAAAAAAAAAGTAAATTGGATATCGAGTATCCTTTAAGCATATCTTGACGTAAAAAAAACTTCGATTTTTAGTTGGTGTACACAGATCGACGAGAAAATCAAAATTACGAATATATAATGTTTCAACTCCCTCAGGCAAAGTTCGCCTTAGCTAAATTTGGCTATTGATTTAGGTCCTTTTTGGTCATTTTGCTCTTCAGCTGTTTATGTTATTATACATTCTTGGCTTTCAAACATTTGGCTTTGAACTTTCCTAATGAAGGTAAATCCAGATAAGCTCTTCGGACGCATGAAATTTATAATAACGTGTTGCTTTCATTTTTTTATAATTTAAAAGTGTGTGTGGGGAGGGGGGACGGTAACAAAATAAATAAAAAATCTGTACACTGAAAAATAAAATAAAAATTGATCTATCCCACTAAAGAGAAATTATCATGGAAAAGAATGTATGATGCATCGAAATTGGTATAATTTAGTCTCCCAAACGAAACTTGGGAAGGCTTATTGTTATTGCTCAGTTCTTATTATTATTATGTCACCCGATCGACAATGTCGGGTGACATATTGCTTTTCCTCCGTTTCTTTTTTTTATTATTATTATGGCACCCTCAACGGAGTTGGGGTGACGTATTGTTTCTACCTTTTTTTTTTCTTATTATGTCACCCTGACGGAGGTCGGGTGACATTTTGTTATTGTTCCATTCTTTTTTTTATTATGGCACCCTCAACGGAGTTGGGGTGACATATTGTTATTCTACGTTTCTTTTTTTTCCTTTTTTTTATTATTATTTTTCTTCCACTATTTTTGTCCGGAGCAGTTCTCAGAATAGAATGGACCAAAGTTAATGGAACTATGGTATAATGTTGACCACCATGCGAAGTTGTCCCTCTGACTTTGGAATGGTCAAGATGGCCACCGTTACCATGGAAACAGCAAAAATGCGAAAAAAATCAAAGTGTTCCAAAGTTTAAAAAACTTCACAGGAATGGTAACTGGCATGTGCTGATTTACAGTTTGACTTCGGAATTTTCAAAATGGCCGCCGTTACCATGGAAACTGCAAAAATGTCAAAAATTTCAAAAAGCTCCAAAATTTTATGAAACTTTAAAAAATGTTAATTTGCAAGTGTAAATGCACTCTTTTACTGAGGAATTTTCAAAATGGCTGCCGTTACCCTGGCAATGGGGAAAGGGTGCCATCCGTTATTGCTAGCAATTACAAATCTAGTTTATAATTTTTATTATTCCACACTTTTTGTCCAGACTATTTCTCGGAAATGTATGGACCAATTATAAGGGAACTTTACCATAATGTTAACCACCATGTGCAGATGTGCAATCGGGGGTAGGCATTTCCAAGATGGCTGCCGTTGTCATGGAAACAGAAATTGTGTGAAAAATCGGAAAGTGTTCCAAACTGAATGAAACTTTGTGGAAATGTTACTTGGCATGTGAAGACATGTAGTCTATCTTTGGAATTTTCAAAATGGCCGCCGTTGCCATAGAAACAGTACAAATATGAAAATTTTCAAAATGCTTTAAACTTTTTGAAAATTAGTAGAATGATGTATTGTGAAGTATATATATTAATTCAATGTTAAAAAAAATGAAATGGCTGCCATTTAGTGGCAATTGGCGGACCAGGGTGACATCCGCTATTGCTCGCAATGGCAATTCTAGTTATGGCACCCTCAACGGAGTTGGGGTGACATATTATTATTCTACGTTTCGTTTTTTCTTCTTATTATTATAATGGCACCCTCAACGGAGTTGGGGTGACATATTGTTATTGTACGTTTCTTATATTCTTATTTTATTTATTCTTCCACACATTTTGTCCATGCTATTTCTCGGAATTGAATGGAACCAAGTTGATGGAACTATACAATTATGTTAACCACCATGTGAAGATGTGCAATCGGGGGTTGGCATTTTCAAGATGGCCACCGTTTCCATGGAAACAGCAAAAATGCGAAAAAATGGAAAGTGTTCCAAACTCCATCAAACTTTACAGTAATGTTAACTGGCATGTGCAGACTTAGCATCGGACTTTGGAATTTTCAAAATGGCAGCCGTTACCATGGAAACAGCAAAAATATAAAAATGCTCCAATCTTTCTAAAACTTTACAAAAATTTTAATTGGAAAGTGTAGATGCGATGTTTGAATTGGAATTTTTCAAAACGGCTGCTGCTCGCCTGGCAATGGGGGAAGGCTGCCATCCGTTATTGCTGGCAATTACAAATCTAGTTATGGCACCCTCAACGGAGTTGGGGTGACGTATTGATATTCTACGTTTCTTTTTTTTCTTATTTTTCTTCCACATATTTTGTCCGCGCGAGTTCTTGGAATCCAATGGACCAATGTTGATGGAACTCTACTAAAATGAGGACCCCCATGTAAAGTTGTGCACCTTGCAATGGAATGGTAAAAAATGGCCGCCGTTTCCATGGAAACAGCAAAAATGCGAAAAAAACCAAAGTGTTCCAAACTGGGAGAAACTCCACAGGAATGGTAACTGGCATGTGCTGACTTGCAGTTTGACTTCGGAATTTTCAAAATGGCTGCCGTTACCATGCAAACAGCTAAAATATCAAAAATTCTAACTCTTTCGTTATAAGACCCAACTGGATGAAACTTTATGAAAATGTTACCTAGTATGCTAAGATGTCAAGACAATATTTTGATAGTCCAAAATGGGCGCCGTTGTCATGGAAACTGGGGGCAAGTTTTACATTGACTCTATAGGAAAATGCATAAAATCAGCATTTTCTTAAAGAGTATTTGACCAAAGTCAATGAAACTGTATTGATATATAACATGACATGTGGCAATGAGATGTCTGCTTTTAGAATTTTGGAATTATCCACTGTAACCATGGAAACAGCAAAAATGTTCAAAATTTCAAAAAAAAATCAAAATGATGCAAACTGGATGAAACTTTACAGAAATGGTAACTGGCATGGGCAGAGCTGCATTTTGAAGTTGGAATTTTCAAAATGGCTTCCGTAACCATGGAAACAGCAAACAAGTTCAAAATTTCAAAATGCTCCATACAAAAATGATAATTTGCATGTGTAGATGCACTCTTTGACTTTTGAATTTGCTAAATGGCTGCCGCTCACCTGGCAATGGGGGAAGGGTGCCATCCGCTATTGCTTGCAATGGCAAATCTAGTTATTATTATTATTATTATTCCACCTATTTTGTCCGCGGCATTCCTAGGAGTTTAGTGAACCAATCCTAATGAATGATTACCATAATGAGGACCATCATCTGAAATTTTGCGAACCACCTTTTGAACTTTAAAAATGGCCGCCGTTACCATGAAAACCGAAAAAAGGTGAAAAAATATTTTTTGGGGGGATTGGTGAATTATTTGGGTATTCTTTAACTTAAAATCATCAAATTTTAATACAACATAGTTGTCCACTATATACAGGTTTTGGATGATTTTGACAATGATCGGAACTACTATGTTGCCATGGAAACTGCAGCAAAAAATTCAAAATGCTTCAACTTGATGAAACTTTACAAAAATGTTGATTGGCATGTGTAAATGCGCTCTTTGACTTTGGAATTTTCAAAATGGCTGTCGTTACCATGGAAACAATGAAAAAAAGGTCAAAATGCTCTAAAAACCCTTCTAAAACCTATAAGTAGCATTTCCTTTCTTAATATGGTAGGTCAAACCCAGTGAAGCTTTAATGGTATGTTCCCTCTCATGAACCAATGGGGTAACTGTCATTAAAATTTTGGAATTGGTCACCTTTACCATGGTAACAGCAAAAATGCCCAAAATTTAAAAAATGCTCCAAATTTACTGAAACTTATTATGTATGTTGACTGGCAAGTGTAGATGAGACTTTTAACTTTGGAATTTCCAAAATGGCCAGCGTTGCCATGGAAACAGCAAATATGTGTAAAAAAAATTCAAAATACTCCAAATATTCTGAAAATTTACAGAAAGATGTATAGCAAAGTATATATGTGCATTCACAGTTTGAAAATTTTGAAATGGCTGCCGCTTAGTGGCAATGGGGGAAGGGTGACATCCGCTATTGCTTGCAATAGCAATTCTGGTTATTATCATTATTCCTCTTCTTCTTCTTCCGCCGCTTTTAAATTTGAACTTGTCCGCACCCGCTCTCCTGGTCAGATTAACTTAGGGTTCCACAATATGTTAGACTAACATGTCTAGTGGTGCACTCAGGGTTTTGTTTGTGCAATGGGGTTTTTTAAGGGGTACTTTGAGGGGCCAGAAAAAAGGAGGGTTTTACTATAGAACCCTATAAAAACAATTAGTGATAGACACAATCTTTATAATTGAAAGTTTTCTGAATGGTAAAGCACATTGAATGAAATAAAAGGTTAGTCCACAGGGGTTACCCCCACCCCCTGCCACTTGAGAAAGTTTTGATATCTTGTAAGTGGTCAACATGGTCAAGATCCCCACCCCTTAACCATATATATTCTGGTTTGTCATGATAAAACACATCAAATGACATACAAGGTTAGTCCCCAGGGGTCACCCCACCCCCTGTCATTTAAGAAAGTTCTAATATCTTGTAAGTGGTCTAGATCCCCACCCCTAAACCATATATATTCTGGTTTGTCACGCCAAGATGATTTGAATGTTAAACAGGGTTAGTCCCCAGGGGTCATCCCAACCCCCTGCCATTTGAGAAAGTTCTAATATCTTGTAAGTGGTCAGGATCCCCACCCCTAAACCATATTTACGCTGGTTGGTCATGCCAAGATGATTTTAATGATATACATGGTAAGACCCGAGGGGTCATCCCCACCCCCTGGCATTTGAATCTGTTCAAATATCTTGTTTATGGTTGAGATCTCCACCCCTAAACTATATATATTCTTGTTTGTCATGTCATGAAGATTTGAATGATATATAGGAGAGGTCCCCAGGGGTTCCCCCCACCCCCAATGTTTAAATATCTTGTAAATGGTCGAGATCCCCATCCTAAACCATATATATATATATGTTCCTGATCGTCATGTCACAAAGATTTGAATGATATATAGAATCAGTCCCCAGGGGTTCGTCCCCCCCACCCCTAATGGTCTTATATCTTGTAAATGGTCGAGATCCCCACCCCTAAACCATATACAATCCTGTTCGTCGTTTCCCGAAGATTGGAATGACATACAGGGTCAGTCCCTAGGCGACATTAATGCATATCACTTTACTGGACCAAACTTATTTGTACTTGGTTTTGCCCAATGTCAGGAAGAATGCCCTGGGAATGACGAATTATGGGAGCTTCGTTTGGTTGACTTCGTAACAGCATCCTATACAATCATTTTTTGTTCTATTTTTGTTTGTGTGTGTAGGTTTTTTTTTATTTCTGCTTCTATCTTTACCGAACTAGTAATCTAGGCAAGTACAGTAGTTCGACACGGGTTTTTTGTTCATGAATAAAACAACTTGAAGTCTTTACAAGGATGTAGATGTTACAAGTTCGATAATTTATGTGAAAACTGCACGAATTATTTCTTTCTGGCTTAGCTTCGCAAATAATTGTATTTCAACGCAACACCTTTTTTAAATTTTGGATTTCAAAAATACTTTTTCCTTGGCCATCACCAAATTAATATTTATTAAAGTGCGCACATGCTGATATTATGTATAATGGTTAGCAGATCGAACATTCAAAGTACAGTATACCATAGAAAAACAATTGTTTTTGTCTCAAGAAATTTGTTCTAATCGGTAAAAGGTGTGACCCAATCCTTAAAGTATTTTGTCATAAAAAGTTATTTAATTTATCAGTAAAAGAATTACTTCTGCATACGTTATTTATTGCTCGGTGTAAGTTTAGTAGCGTTATAAAGGATTATATTCATGTTCATTCTTAGGAAAAGATACCAGGCTGTAATACTGTATGCCAATCGCGCGTTTCATCTTTACAAGACGTCTCAGTGACGCTCGAATCAAAATTGTTTAAAGGCAAAAACGAAGATGAAGAGTACCTAGACAATTTTATTGAATTTGTATTGAATTTTACGCTTGCATAAAATCTTGTACTCATTTTTACTGTTAAGTTTACCAGCAGAGGGTATTAAAAAACTCTTGAACATTTCGAAACAAACATTCTTGCATATATTGTTCAGTAACATTCGGTTCGTATTACATGCTAATTCTCATGAGAGTTAAAATATGTTTTACTATGGTTCATTATTCGTGTCAAGATACGTTATTGTCTCAATATATTCTACTTTGAACCATTACGAAAAAACAAATTTAGAGAGTGTATTCATTGTTTCTCTCTAAAGATACCACAAGTATTCAACAACCCAACAGAGAAAAAAATATTTCAATACATTACATTTGAGTCATTAAAGAAAACATAAATCATTGTTAGTTATCCCACACCCGAATTAGGAAAATTGACAATTACAAAACAAATTATCTGATAGCCTGCTAAATTTTTCATGCCGTATTATAGAATACGTCCATACTGAACAGTCTGATATCATAACGTGCAGATTGTTTGTGTGTTTTATTGAAATGGTAAACAAACAGAATAAATGGAGTCCGTAAATCAAGTCACAGTAGTTTACCGACGGTAATTCGATTAAGAAGAGACAAATCTTGGTACCTACAAATAACTGAAGGAATCGCACATACTCCAAAATGAGCGAACCCGTGTCCATCGACAGGATAAGGGTCTCCTAGTATGCATGCATCATACTGAACAGTCTGATATCATAACGTGCAGATTGTTTGTGTGTTTTATTGGAATGGTAAACAAACAGAATAAATGGAGTCCGTAAATCAAGTCACAGTAGTTTACCGACGGTAATTCGATTAAGAAGAGACAAATCTTGGTACCTACAAATAACTGAAGGAATCGCACATACTCCAAATTGAGCGAACCCGTGTCCATCGACAGGATAAGGGTCTCCTAGTATGCATGCATCACACTCCATGCGAAGTCACACTAAAACAAATAAACGCGTAAACAGTGATATATTATATATTTTGTACCGGGAGATTTGAGGTGTGCAAAAACATGGAGGACATTTTTTCTTATATATACATATATCGATATATTTTCTCTGATCCAACCTTTGCGGATATCAAGATGTAAACAGTATTGGAAATTATTTTTCTCGTTTTATTTTTATACTCCCGTTTACGGGACGTATTATGGTAAACCGTTGTCCGTCCGTCCGTATCTCCGTCCGTCTGTCCGTCCATCCGTCCGTCCGTCGTCGACATGTCGGACAATAACTCAAAAACGCTTTGAGCAGTTTTCATGAAACTTTGGTGAACTGTTTATATTTATTGACGTGAGCTCCCTTCCGATTTTTTTGAATTTTAGATTTTACGTTTCCGAGTTATGGGGTTTTATTCATTAAAAAAAGGGGTAACACATATGTTGTCAAGTACCTTGATGATATCAATTTCATCTTGAAGTAACATCAAATTCTTATATTTGACAAAAAAAGGTATAAAGTGCAGAAATTTTATGTATATTATTGGAATTGTTTACAAACAAAAAAGATCGAGACTGCGTATTTAGTGAAGGGTATAGTTTTGAGTATGCACAGGAATTCTTTATAAGATATGCGTCTGTTGTTTTATTTTCTCATGAATGACATCACATTGCTTTTACCTTTGTGGAATGCATACCACAATTACTGCATGATCTTGTTTACGATTGCAATGACCAGATAATCATTTCTTTATTATTATGTATTGGTACAGTTGTCTTCTGAGTCACTCTGAAATATCAAGATCAAAAGAATATACGGAATAATTCCTCTCAATTTATTATTATTTAAAATCAACAAATCATCGCTGGTACTCTGTTCTACTTTTTAACAACACTCGAACAATTGACTTGGGGTTAGAAATAAGGTGTCAATGAACCTATCCTGTCCGGCATCTAGATCTGTGCCTATGGAATCGAAGTGCTCTCGGTATTCTGCATACGATGTATGAATACGCATCGACGTCCTGTTGGAAAGAAAGTTTTGCCCGCTAAACCAATGTCACGATACGACCACGCTTTCTGCACGCTATAGAACCCTTGCAACGACTCTTTATGGTTCTCATAATTGACCTGTTGGAATTTAAGGCTTACAGAGTTACAATATGATAAAAGTATTTCAAATAAAAACAAAACTGCAATACTGACAAGTTACTCTAGAACTACAATTTCTTTAAGTGTTTCTCAGACACAGAGTACGAAAGCATACACAAAAGTGAACAATTAGGGTAAATTATAAACCTTTATTAAAGCAAAATGCAATTTTTAAATATCCTACCCAAGATATATTAAAAAAGAAAAAGGAAACCATTCTGTCCTTTTCCCACATTTCACATGAGTGTGTTCATCTTCAATTAAACAATCACCAATTATAGACCACCTTTGCGATAGAGATTGATTTATTGTCTTTAAACATTCACTTGCAAATATTTCATATATATTCAGCACAAAATTGCGAAAAATTAAATTTTCAAAAAAATGTTTATTTTATTGTGCACAAAAGTGCTTGTCCGTTCTCATTATTACAAACAAGTAAACGATTATCACTTTTCTCGTAAAATATGGCTCTAGGATTTACAAGGCCGTCAAACGCGTTAAGTAGTTCTTTATATTTTTTTCCGTCAGCTGAAATCACAAGAACGTTGTTTGACTGTGTACATGCAACGTATGTATTTCCATACTGGTCTGTTGTAATGCCAATGGGAAACTTCATTATTTCATTTTTAAAAGACCATAGTTCCTCTCCGTTTTTCTCGGAACAGTAAACGGTATGATTATCGTAGTTAGCATAATAAAGTCTATCTCCATGGACAGATAGAAAAGCAACAGAGTTCGTGTTCACTGGAACTGATGATATACGCACTAGATCATCTGTCATTTCAACGCAATGTATCGTTGACGTTCCAGCTGCGTATAAGTTCTTACCATCATATGATAATCCGTAGCATTTTTCCTTAAAATCGATTCTCTTTTCCGTTTGTAGTGTCTGCACGTTGAAAATACAAACCTCATTGCTTCTTTCATAGGAGAACGCTAGTCTTTCTGAGTCTATGATTGCCATATATTTAACGTTGTCATTTACAGGTTGATATCTTACAAACTTTCCATCTAAGGTGTATATGACAATATTTTTACTTTCAGTCCATTTGAAAATTAACTGTCTATTTGGCAAGACAACTGCGCTCCAAAGTTTCGAGCTGTATGTTTGCGACTTAGAAACATTAATCTTTACTATTTTCTGTATTTCTATATCTTCTATTGGTTTTGAGACCGAAACAGAAACATGAGACTGAACTTTATGAAGTTTTGTTGGTTGAAATGCTATACGTTTTTGGTCATTTTGAACATGGCCAAGCAATTTAACTTCCGATAGAAAAGTCTGAATTGGGGCTGCTAACTGGAGTTCTTTCAAAATAGTAACAGGCTCCTCAGTTAAAGATTTTACTTCTTCGGTATTATCGTTCAATTCTTTAGAAATCTTACGAATGCTCAAAAATATGTGAGTATCAGAAGCATAACCTTCTAAACCATTAAGTTTGTCTCTCAAAGCTTTTATTTTTTGCAGTTTATCCTGAAATTGCATTGTCCGGCTGCCTATACTGCCAGAAATATCTTGATGCTGTTTTTCAACTGTATTGACAAATTCTGCTTCAAGGTCTTTTACTTTCTGAATAATACTCTGAACAACTTTTGAAGCTTTACCTTTTAAAATTTTGCAAGCGTTCTGATTCGCTATTTGTTCTTTTTCGTGGTTATCAATCAACTCTTCAAAATTTCTAATCACGTCCTCAAGATCTTGACTGATCGTCTCTTTTGATACCGATGATTTAACACCATCTGCTGCTTCTGAGATTGGCAACCAACCAGTGCACTGATTATGTTTGGTTTGGATGCATTTGATACAAACTACTTGGTCATGTAAAGGGCAAAAATATTCCGAAAGCTTGCCATGCAGGTCACATCTTTGAGTTTCCGGCAAATCCAATATAATTCCATGCAGGGTATTATGGTCCTCTATTGCAATAACACTATGATTTCTTGACACTTTCAGACTTTTATGCGCTTCAAAGCATGTCGAACACAAAGCCTCTGTACAATCTGTACACCATTTTACTGCTGACTTTGTTTCATGTTTGTAGTCACATGGACCACAATTTAACGCTTTTTTTGTGGCCATCCTGTCGGTAAATATTGGTAGCAAGTATATGCAACCTCTGAAACAGAACAAGACTCAGTTAATTAACGATTATATACAGTAAAACATATTTCATCTTATAAATAGTGAAACAAATATTAATAAAATAAAATGTCACATGATTTTAAATGAGATTACTATCCATCAAACACCAAAATGACGTGTTTGTTAGCAATAATAGGCCATCGTTCGGCCTTCTGCAATGATGAAAACCAATATCGTATAGCTATAAAAGACCCCGAGATGAAATAATGTAAAACAATTCTAACGAGAATTTCAACGGCTTGAATTATTGTAGCGCAATAAAAGAAAACGAATATGACACACGGCAACCAAAGACAACAACTAAATTACAGACTCCTATCATTGAAGAGGCATATGAGGAATTTGGAGGGGTTCATCTTTTTGTTTTAGGACTCGGCTATCCCTCTTAATTTAAGAAAAAGCTTTTTCAACGCCAATTACAACTAATAAATAAAGCATATTTTCCCAGAATATAATACCAATCTTTAACCACCCAACATATTTATGGATTACGGTCCTTGAAACCTTAAACGTAACTTCAGACACTGGCAGAGAAAACGAGTTTGAAAATATACCTTCCGTGAAAAGAACATAATGAAACATCACCGTAAAAAATCGAACAATCTTTGTATAATGTAAACTGAAATATACATTACTAGGAAAGGACAATTATTGTTGTTTATATTGGATTTATCTAACGTCAGTTACATTGGGTACATACAATGTATGTGCACTATAGTTAGCATTATTTTATCATTAACAGCAAAACTTGTAATCTTATTCTCACCAAGTTTTGAATTATTTAGTGAGAGAACATCATCTATATAGCGGAAAGTAAAGCTAAATGATACTCCTATTTTTTTTTAATTTCTTCCTAAGAAATTCCTGTACGAAGTTAGCCTCATATGAATAAAAGAAAAGGTCGGCAAGAAGAACAGCACATTCTTTCCCCATGGGATCGCCGATTGTTTGTTGAAGTAACACGTCCTCCAAACGTAACAAAAATGCTGTCAATCAAGAAATCAAGCGTCGTGATAATGTCAGTTTTAGAGAATTGTTTGTTTGAATCCGAGTGATTTTTTTTATAAAGTACGATTTATCCACTTCGCGATTTTATCTACCAGTAGATGACGCGGATTGAAAACACAAATGTTGGCTTATTCTGCCAAGGGTGGAGAGGAGGGGACTGGATCGTAACCCTTGGCTAGCAAAGATGACTGTGTCAATATCGAGGTCAAGATCAGGACATAAAACACACCTTCGATTGTGGATAGTATACCTTCTATGCATTGATTGAAAAGTTTGTTATTTGCTGACAAGATAACTAAAAAGAAAAACCAAATACCCTATATATATTGAAATAAATGTGTGGTTCCATTCCCTCATTTATTTTAATTGACTAAATATTGTGACTACATGCACAATGATAATATATTAAAAACAAAGATTCAAACATATTCAAGATTCACCTCATTCGTGTAATTCGTGTAATTTCCCTTTATACCTATTAACACAATATACTATTGAAGAGTGTTTCACACAAGTGTTTGTTTTTGTAAATTAACTCGTCATAGATACGAGGATTACAATTTTGCACGCTAGACTCGCGTATCGTCTACAAAAGACTCAGTAATTCTCAATTCAAAAAAGTTTAAAGTGCAAATAAAGAACGAAGTTGCTTGAAGAGCATTGCAGACCAAAATTATTTACGACAGACTGACAAAATGCGTGACTGACTAAATGCTTAAAGGCCTCTCTTTATGTTAATTTTTATGGTTTGATGCACCTTTGGGTGAATCTTTACTCAAAATTATAGGAATGCTTTTTTTTCAAATTGAACTCTGCTTTGGTTTTAATTATCTCTAAATAAAGCATAAATCGTAGGTCAATGTGCACTAATTTATAAAGGCTGCAACTGTTGTATTATATTTCATAATGACCACATTACATGCATATAGAATTTAAATGAACGTTATCTTTCGGATGCAGGGTGTACATTGGAATTATGCTAGTCTAGAGCAATACTTACTTCTAGTACTATAATTGTAGGTACCACGGTAAATGATAACTAATCGCAGACTCGAAACGTATTATGCAAATCAATGGGGCATAAAATAAAGGTCGGACGGACTTTTTTAAAATGACATTTATTCTCCCATAACAACATAGTTTTTCCTAAATTTGAGTGTAGGTCACAGATTTGAGAATTAATTTCTATAACTTGACATCGTTCATTTCAAATTATTCTTCCCGGATATAACATGATATAACTCAGCATCTCACCGGGTGATGTTTCTCGGTTACATTAACCTATTAATCGGTAATCATCATGAATATCTGGTTAAAAACAGGCTCTTGCAGAAAAAGGAAAAGCGATACTGAAGGCGAGGAAGGAATAATTCTAGTAAACTAATGGATGTTATTTGTGTTCACAACAGGTGTTAAGAGTTCCAGTATTGAATATATTTTCATTGGAACTAATCCAAAAACTATAAATAGACTGACAAATCAAGTACTGGGGCACCGCACGGGAGCAGTCCTGTCTGAGTATTCATTTCTCTGTTTTCCCCAACTTTATTCGTTCTCTTTACAGATAAACTAAAATATAAATGATATGAAACCTTCATGGATTATTTTTTATCCATGTTTCCTTAAGCTTCATATTTGAAAGAACATCCCGTAATACAATTTTGACATTATTGAGGGACGGTAGGACCTTTATAACGGGTTTTCGTGTTTTCAAATTGGGGACTACGGGATTTCGTGTATTTTAGTTCGTGATTTCGGGATCGGACCCCCTCCTACCCGCCTCATTTTTCGATTGTCGATCTAAAAGATCTAACCACTGACTATTTCCAGAAATAATCTGAAATCACGGACCTACATGTAGACGGCGAAAACTCCAGTTCAATTTTCCCGTATCCATAAAAAAAAACCCTAAAATTCAATATTCCTAGAATAACATAAAACGATATAGTTATATCCAACTTCCCGTACCCATACCGTTAAAAGGTAACATGTAGCAAAAAGAAAAACTAAAAATAACATTTCTAAAATAACATAAAATAACATAGGGGGTACCCCTATGTCTCAGTGAATTCAGATGACAAAGATATGATTATCTGATATTCCTGAAGGTGAAATGGCAAAGTATATCCCAATATAGCCTGTTCAAGACTTAAAGCTGAAAATTAATATTTAGCTCCGTCCGCAATGAAACGGTTTGAAATCAATTCGTGATATCTTCAATCTATATAGCTATGCAACGATGTCAAGCTTTTAAAAAAATGCCCAGAATGCACGATTTAACATCATTTATCCCAGACCCCCTGCCGAAATTTTTCGCCTTGCTACGCACGTCGATCAGTTCTTCCCCACTAAATTAATATGCCTATTTACGGCCTTGTATGAAAATAACCGTAATATACGTAAACATATGGCTGCATATTAATTGTTTCGAGCTCAAATGTATAATTGCATTGTTTTACATTATTTAATTTTTAGCTTATATAGACAAAAGGGGAAAGAATGAAAATTATCCTACACTAATGTAGTGACCATCATCTGTCAGTTATTTTTCGTCTATACGGCAGCTGAAACATTTTTATTTGTCAATAATATTATTTTATCAATACACTTAATCATATGAAACTAAACTTATCCAAAAATGAGCCCCGATCAACGATAGTAATTATTAAAGATATAAAGAAAGATATTTGCAGTGGTTAATGAACATTTTTCCTCCTGATTGGTCTGGTTTGACTACGAAATGTAAATAAATGAGAGATAGAAAATAAGATTAAATCAAATTATAATAAAAGTAGATATCAACCCATCCCTTGTCGATTTCTTTTGTTAAAGGGTCGTATACTGCTTTTATGTTCATACGAACCTATTTGTCAAAATGACTTGTTTTTAATTCAAAATCTACTCTGAGTACAAACAAACCTGTGCTTCTGGAAAGTTGTTTGCAGGCATGGCATGATTACATGAGTTTTAATATTCAAATGCATTTTATGTTTCCGAAAATTTATATTTTATTTGGATTTTGTGGTGCACCTGTTTTAACCCCGTCTTCCCTTTCCATTTACACGTTGTCATGCTGATATCAATATTTGTCCATATCGTTCTTTTTGGAATGCGGTGTCAATTTCATAAAAGTCAACACAAAAACCAAAAAAAAAATAAATTACAAAATAAATACTAGGAACAGAAAATATCAGAAAACAAACGACACACATGATAAACCGCACCCCCAAGGGCATACGTATTTTAGCACTACAGTTGTTTTCAAACGTGACCATTTCTGGCTACAAGGAAGTACAACTGTTTATCATATACAATGGTCAATCTAGAAGTGTTTACTGTACACATTTATACAACGACTGACAATCTAAGAATACAGTTATTTGCTTTTAACGCATACTCACACAATACATATAGTTATGATGTTTCACTTTTCTGTCGTGTCAAGAATGTTCTTTGCCCCATTATCAAAATTATTTGGATTATGTCCCTTTACATGTAAAATATACTACGGTGTGCAAATACTGTCAATATTAAAAATAGTGTTTTATAACAACATTGCATAATAATCAATATGTTTATTTTTGTTCGAATTTGGAAACGTATTTGATAATTGTTTGTTTTATCAAATTTTATAATATTCAATAATGTAAACTATTATTAAAGATGTATTCTCTGTGCTCTATGCTCTTGCTCTTGTTAATATTGATTTAACGGAATACATAATTTTGGCGCCCATATTTGTTTTATAACGTTTCACATACCAAGTTTGTTTCTTTCTTCATAATTAGCAGGTGCCAAAAAATTATTGAGAAAAAACGAGAAAATACTAAAATACTTTAAATAAGCATAATATCGTACAATAAATTTCGTTTATAATTATGATGACTATCAGTCATGTCAATGGCGAAGTAACATAATTTTAGAAAAATGATAACAAAGTATTTGAATCGGTATATAAGTAGATGC